TTGGTTTGTTATGCGGCTCTATAGGGCAGCATTCGTACGGCGTGGCCAAGTAAGGGCACCAGGATGGCATATGCAACTGCCATCCATCGCATCCTTCAGCGCTTGGAGGCGTCTGACGTCCTCTGATGACGATGATATGTAAGTTCTGCATCGACTTGATGATTGCTTGAGCTGTATCGCGAATGAGTTTACTGATATCTGTCCCATAAGAGACTCGGATTTCTTGCCGAATATCACCACTGAGCAAGTTCAGAAAGGCGAAAATATTGTCATGTCGTTTAAGACACTGCCTGTCTAGAAAGCAGTCCAAGAACTGTTTGGGACATATCGGCTGGGAGCCTATCCTCGGAATCTTGACCTCGGAGTCGCCCCGGAAGTACGTGCGTGTTGGTGTGCTTTCGCCTGAACTGACCCAAAAACACGCTGGCCTATTGCGGGGATAAATGCCCTCGAGTCTTGAATACGGCACTACCTGATGACCACATTGGATAACAAGGGATTGAGCAAACATCATCTCTTGCACAATCCAGGCGCGAGACCAGTAAGGACGGTCCATTAGATTCCTCAAAGGTTCATCCTCGTTTGGGGTTGCATCATCGCTGATATGGGATATAAGCAATGCAGACTCTGGCTGTATACGTCGATTCTGCATCACCTCCATTAAGGAATAAACCAGCCTGCTGCCGTCATCTGGCGATCCTAACCAGGCGATAACCCTTTTTGCGAAACTGTAAATCCGATGCATTAATAGCACCTGCACTTCCTTCTCTTCTTCATCATACTGATTGATGCATATCGCATCGACCCAGAGCATCCTCTCTGAATTAGGATCTCGTAAGTATCTGAGGGCTTCTGCGAGATTACGGGTAACAGCGAAAGGATAGTCGCAGAGGTCGATAAACTCTGGATTTTCCATTTCACCCCAAACGTAAGAAAGTGCCTCATATGGTAACACTTTGCCAAGAGATGCCTGCGCAAGGTCTTCTTTCGGTCTCAGATGGCATTTGATTTTGTCTGATGTGGTACCGGAGTGAAGGACCAGGATACGTGCTGTTTCTCCCCCTAGGCGCTCGGCATATATGAAATCGACTAGCGGTCGGTTATGCGTTTCTAGCGTCGATTTATATGCTGGCTTCACATTGTCTTCGGCTTGAGACTGTTCCTGTTTGACACGCCTCGATGGTCGAAGGTCGTCATTGCAAGGCCTAACGTCATTGTCATCGGACCTTTGGTGTTTCTTGACCATATCTTGACAGCAACTTGGATTCGCATCTATAGTTGGTGGTACAGTAATGCTTGTGAACTTTTGCGGTGACGGAGGTTAGGTAGGACGAGAAAGAATGGGTAGGCACTCAAACAGAACACAGCCAGATACTCCAAAAGCTGCGGAAGATCATTTCGAACACACGAGAATATCCACGTCCCTTTAAACGTGCTAATCATGCGATCAATGGCCATAGAACTCATGGCAGGGGTTCATTGCCCAGCCTCAAGCGGCGTTGTAATCACCCCCTTTCTTGTATTGTCCACTAAAATGATCGCTCTACGCGCTTACTGAGGAAACAGGGTGGTCAAGCGAGGCTGCCTTCATCTCAGCATGTTCGTGATAGGCCTAGTGCTTACCGCGGCATATGCGCGATTCATCAAAGCCAGCCAATATTCGAAAAACAAGAATGCAAAACCGAATCGAGATTTCACAGCACGCAAAATACTTAGCCAACATGTTTCGGTGGCTATCCGACAACAGATATCAGGTTCTCCCATCTGCTCTGCCGTCTTCCATAATGCCGGGTTAGATTAGTTGGTCCTCGTTCTCTAGAACAGGAACCGGTATTCGCGTAGCAACAAATAGGGAACCTCAGCTCATTGCCCCTACAACTGTTCCACCAAACAGAATACTGTATTGACAAGGCAGAATCAGATATATGTACAAGGCCGTATATAGCCAAATTTCGCTCTATGCCAACGCATATCCTCATGCATGTAGCTGCAAGCTACTGTCTTCTTGTCCGCAATCGGCCTATTCGCGAACACGTTGCATGCAAAGACGAAAGCCCCTCAGAACCGTGTACAAGCTTAAGTGGCCAATCTATGGAATCGAGGGCTCATCGATAGCCAGGGTTTACCACCATTAATGATGCATGGGTCTACTGGTGCGGAAACGAGCATCACGAAGCACCGGGATGTGAGCAAGCAGATGACTGGACTACATTCATTCTTGGTTCTTCTACATACGGGTGCCGCATCCTCACCGGGAATCTTCGACAATCCAGAATTCCAACATCAAGGCTCAACCCACTAGTCTTGCCATGAACACTCGCTCAACTAAAGCCGAACCAAGAGTATGAGCGCTGGGATCAGGCTTGGTAACAGCGAAGGTGGGCGAGATGGAGATCAAAAGGCGCGGATGGCCCGTCGATCTTTACACACATGTTCCGCGGATGAGCCGCACAAACCGTCGTCCAGAACCAGAGAAAACAAACCCCGAAGGAACGAATCGCAGGAACCGTGGAACGCAACTGCACACATTTTCTTCGGGTCAGTCTACGTGTAAGCCGCACTTGACTGGTAGGGTGGGGAAGAAAGTGTTGTGCAATATAAAGAATCCGCCATCCCTCATCTTACGCCCGCCCAGACTGTTCTTCTTCTAACGCAAAGGCTAGTTCTTCAACGAGGGGAAGGGTATACATACGCAAACCCACCACCCCTCTCAGAGCGTATGTTGTCCAGCACTGCGGGCTGGAATCATTTGGAGGCCGATCCTACCTTTGAAATTTGCCTTTATTTCCTTCCTCTCAGAACCCTAGCAACCGCAGAATGTATCTTCCGTTCAGTCGACGCCTCGTGGTGGGTGCTTGAGGACGCTGAGGCTGGAGACGGGCGATGGAAATGGAAGTGCGTCGGTTTGCCGGTTTGGCTTCGTCCTACGGAGCTATCGGACTAGTGATGACGCTTGCTTGCGAAGCTAGGCCTTCGAAAAGAGGGCACAATAGCGAACGGAGCACTTCTGAAGTTCGAAGAGGTTCGAAGGCAACAGTAGTATCGGAACAGGTGTGTGATAGCTCAGGAAGGGTAGCAGGGTACCAAAAAGAAAAAGCATGCAAAAGTCTGGGGGCTTTGAAGACTAGAGAGAAGAGTGGGGTAGAGGCATTTTGGGAAGCTATGGATGGTATTTGCATTTCTACTCAACTGAGTTTTCATCCACCACTATATAGGCCAAGGGATTCTCCTAGTCATGAAAGAAGACTTCTTCCTGCTGTCTAGAGTGCTTGGAAAGCTGCTTTTGAGAAACAGATTACCTAGGTATCTAGCAGCACGAAGTGGCTCCTGGTCCGTCTCCACCAGCCCAGTTGAATACTATAGCCTTATTGAAGGCGATGTCGCTGTTACTATAATCCTGGCAGCGCCATCCGAGTTCCTGTTGGGTAGTTGATATTGGGAAACCTATTCACAGGATAAAGGACTGTATGAGAGAAAACCTACCGTGCAACTCTTACAGATCTTCACACACATGTTCGTGCTCGCTCGCCAATTGTACGACCTCCAATTTCCCGTTATTTTGCCACTAAAAGACAGTCGTTGGCATTGCTAGCTTGGAAACCGTTTGACCTGGTTCTACTTACAAACTAGTCTAGAAGAACTATGTTAATAATGCTGGTTTTGACTCTTAGTTAAGATACCTCAGAGAACTTACTTTAACATTGCATTGTCCGTTCATGTTTGTACTAGAGCAGGCCTTAAACTCTGCTGCAGAAGCGGAGACGGCAAGAATAGAAACAATAGCAGCAAGCTTCATTCTGCAGGATCAGTGATATGTATTGGTAAAGTAAGTTGAAAGCGAACGCAATCAAAGAAGGAGGCTTGTGTAGGAAATACAACTACGGCGAGAAACAATGTCCTTTTATACCTTTTAGATTCCTCTAACATCTCAGCTCACGACACTACACACACCTAAGCTGAACGAGCTGTTTACGAGCATTCCATGTCCCATGGAATTTAAAGCGGGGCGTGCCGCCTAGTCGAATCCAGGCGGGGTAATTGCATGAAGAAGATATGCGTCTGTCACAAACATTTCAGCTCATTACACAACCCACAACTCAGCTGATTTAGGGCTTTCGTACCGTACTATAGCTTCATATATGTTCATTTAAATATATATTAACTGCTGGAAGCTTCGCCAATCATGTTGTGTATTGACCACCAGCTGAAAGCCGTACCACTGGTGCATTAGAAAGTAACATTTACGTAGGCGTCTAGAATTTCTTCCTCCCTGCAGGTGCCTAGACTTCTTTCACTTTTCCATCAGTAGGTCCTCAGACTATACCGCCGCAAAATGCTTGGCGATTCGTCATGCACCAACCAATCTTTAACTCAATACCTTCTGTCGCTTCCAGCCTTAACGAGCTGTAGGCTGCACCGAGAAAGTAGTTCAAGAGCACATGCGTATTTTAGCTATTCCACTTGTGTTATCATCCTTTGATGGTATACTAGGTACTGAACACTAGAAGTATATACGTGCGAGAACTTGAATACTCCCGAAGTCCCCTTGTCCGTCTTGCATCGCAATAATAGCTTGTTTGACTAGCGGATCTCTGTACTCTCCCATTCTAGAGGACTAACAAAGGGTATACTAAGCTGACAGTGGTTTTATAGGATGGTTGCAAGCGGACGAGCAGGGCTGCTTTAGCGCTGCTGCGTGCCGATAGCAAGTTCTTTCTCAACTACCGTCGAACTGCACCTACCAAGCGGCTGAAGTAGTTTGTTGGATAGTACTTGCTCGCCTGGTTACGCTTGGAAGGCGAATGATGTGAGAATCAAATGCCGCCAATCATATACAAGCAGTGCACCAGCGAACTAGTTGTTCGGCGGGTGACTACTGCTGAATCCCCGCTGTTGTACGGGTTTGCTTTTTTAGTTGATTCAAGTAGAGTAAATGAAGCACGTGCTGGAGAAAGTCCTCGCTAAGCATTATAACAAACGCCGTGGTGTGATCCGCGTATTCACTTCAAATCAACGACCTTTTTCCCTTTCTTCTTCGCCTCCAACACGGCATCTCTCCATTCCGTCACACCATCCAACGCACCTTGAGGGTCCGACTTCCTCTGCAGAAGGTAACCCTGAATCTCCGCAGGCGAAAAGGTAGCCTCGGGAATAGCTTCCGCAAACTGCTTTGCCATCTCCGCGAGACGCTCTGGTGGCAGTGTTGCAAAGCTCGGTTTTGCAGGGAGAACCGCGGTGGTGGAAGGGTCGTTGTTCGATGACCTAGGCTTTCTCCTCCTTGAAAGAGAAGATTTAGACTTTTCATCGTTCCTTTGCGTGGCTAGGTCGGCTTCGCTGCTGTACATGCGACGGAAGATTTCTTGTATCTGGGTGTTGGTGGCTAGTGTGAACTTTATTTGGAGGTCTACACGGCCAGGGCGGATAAGTGCTGAGTCGAGCTTTTCGGGGTAGTTCGTGGTCATTATCAAGACTCTACCTTCGCTGGATGCCGCGCCGTCGATGATGTTGAGTAGGCCTGCTAGGGAGATCTTGCTCTTACTTCCTTCTTCATCGACTGGCTCTGGTGGAGGGGGTGGTTTGGCTGCCTTGATGCTGAGAGCTCTCACGCTAGGTGCTCTGACGGATGCTGGTGCCGATGCGTCGTCTGTAGTGACGAGAGTGGTGGTTTCGCTGTCGGGTTTAGGAATCTTGCGCGTGCGCAGGGATTGCGTGATTCGTCGGCGAATGGACTTCTTCTCCGTGTCAGTGATGTCGTTCTGCTTCTCTTCAACCTTCTTTTCGTCTTTGCTTTCATTCTTCTCCTCTTTCTCTAGCACTTTCTCCGTCCCCTGAACAGGCAACTTGTCGGCCTCTGCAGTATCAGAGCTATGATCCGAGTCTGGGATTACAGAAGACCTGTCCCGCCGAATACCCGCGCTGTCGATATCTTCTAGTAGAACGATACAGCGATTTGGAAGCTGACCGAACAGCGATGCAAGATCAGACTCGCTCATATCACGCTCACTCAAGGAAGCGCAGTAAACGCTCAGCCCGAAGATTCCAGCTATTGCAAAACTCAAAGATGTTTTACCGGTACCTGGAGGGCCATGGAAAAGGTATCCTCTTCGGTGCGGAATGCCTCGTGCGGCATACCACCGAGCTGTAGCGGGGTGAAGGTATTCGTTGATGTCTGCTACAACTTTGTTCTTTTGCGCTTCATCCAGAGTTACTGTGCTGATAGGACGTGAAGGACGAGTTGACTGAACAGACCAATAGCCTCCATGCTTAATCTCGGCTCGCATGATTTCAGTCGTCTTGTTAGGCTTATGCGCCGACCATTCTTTAACATGGTCTATCAAGTCCTTGACAGGCTTTGTGCTGCGGCCAATACAACGGATGATGATGAAGTATTCAATCCGTTCCTGGTACTTGTTCTCTTGGCAGTCTTTGCTGAACTGGAAGTAGTGACCATTGTGAGTAAAGCTGTCATCACCGAGGTTAGGCTCGTAGTACACTGGACTAGTACCCTTGTACTTGTCGTAGTTGAAGATTCCAGACTCGTCCAAGACATCCTCGATGTCTGATTCTGAATCATTATCGTCGTCCACTTCGTCACCACGAGCTCTTGGCTTCTTTGAAGTGGCTTTTAGATCTCTGCTGACCTCCGTCATGCGATGTTCCGAAATCCAGGATATGAACTGGGGGTATAGATCGTCATCGTCATCTATCCGTATGGCCGAAGTACCGTGACCTCTAGATGAAGAGTTAGTGGGCAGTAGTTGGGTGGGTTGAACAAGCGGCGAACTTACAACACCAATCCGCGCCCCTGGGTATACAAGAATAGTGTTCCCTGGAACAGACCAAACAGCAAAAGGTATAACGACATTGTGCTTCCAACATCGAAGCCAAGTTTGTTAAGGAGAAGCTGGAGTATAGCGCCAACACCCGGAATGTTGATAGCCGCATCTGCGAGGCCTGGAGGCAGCGTTTCCTTCAGATTCTCCATATCGATATCGAGCTGGAGATTTGCTCTTCGTGCCGAGATATAAATTCAGGTCAACAGGTAATCAATAGTAGACGGTGCGTCTGTTCTCGTGACAAAGGGCCTTGATCAAACGTGAGACTCCAGCGAGTGAGTGTCTTAGGTCGGTGTGAAGTAGTAGTAGTAGTCCAGCCACGAGATGCGATGTGTGCGTATTTATCGTATACACATGATTACCAGGCAACCTTACCTGATGTATGCCGATGTACTAATATCAACCATCGTCATAACGTGGTGTTGAGAAAAGGGCGGTGGGATGGGAGCCTAAACTAACAAGTGGCTGTGCAAATTGTGCAGCCGACTCAATATAATCAGCTTTGGCGTCAGCCTCTCGGAGGCTCTGTTTGAACAAGATGCACCCTCTCTGGGGTAGTTGAAGTGGTCACCTGCATGGTGCATCCAGTAAGGTGGAGACTGCAGATACCTGAAGTGCGTTGGTTTCGTCTGGTCGGACGAGAGTATTGGCGCGCCAGCAGCACGGCTGCAAGCAAGGCGGATTGGCGTTCAGTCTAAGGGTCACGTCGAAATTCTTTTGCGCACGATTTGCGCACACAAAGGGCGCATGAAAGTGGCCGCGATGCGTGCTGCTGTGGATACAAATGTAACATTGTCGACTTGGGGGAGCAGAATCGGTGACGCCGGTAGTGAGATGCGGGCTAGCCGATGAGTCAAACACCCACCATGACACTGAACTGGAAAGGCGTTGCCGCATAGTGGTTTAGCGAGGCTGAAAGGCGACCGCAGCACTGAAGAATTCAAACGCAGTTCGCTCATGCTCAAATGACGTGGCGAAGGCTGTGGCGCACCGGTGCTTACTTGCATCCCTCCGCACGTCGGCTAGCGTATTCCTGTACATGATCTTAACACTATGCGACAAAGATTGCACTGGGGTCAAACACCCAATTCTCCGTTCGCAGGTTCTGATGCGGTCCAATAGTCATGTATGAAGCACGAACAGATATTGTTAATGCAATTGTCTGTGTAGAAATTGTGATGAGATTTCATTGATAGACATGTCGTCTGGATATCAAACGCCCCTGCGCCCTTTCTCTTGCCCTACAATAATCAGACACGCTCTAGTTGCCTAACCAGTCTAGGAACTCAGGTGTGAAGTAGCTGACTATAATGGAAGCCCCTGCTCGAAGGATACCCTGTGTAGCCTCTTCCGCCATCTGCCTCAAATCGAACACACCTGCGGCTGCGGCCGCGTGGATCATAGCGTATTCGCCAGACACCTGGTATGCCGCGATAGGCATATCCTTGCCGATTTCCTTCGCATCGCTGATGATGTCCAGATACTGACTTGCAGGCTTAACCATGATAATATCTGCACCTTCACCAATATCTCTAGTAATAGCTCGTCGTGCCAGACCACGGCCGCCGGGGGGTAGCTGGTAGCATCTTCGGTCGCCAAACGAGGGTACTGAGCCTGCAGCGTCGCGGAAAGGACCGTATAAACATCCGGAGAACTTGGCTGCGTATGACATCAGCACGACCTGGTGGGCAATTCCGGCTTCAATCAGCCTCAGCTTGATAGCACGAATGCGACCGTCGTTCATGTCCGATGGCGCAACGCAATGTGCGCCAGCATTCGCATATGAAAGGGCTACATCGGCAATTCGCTCTACCGACAAAGCGTTGTTCAGACTACCATCGTCGCGGAGGATACCGCAATGGCCGTGTGAGGTGTATTCGCAGAGGCAGACGTCGGCAACGATGAAGAGATCGGGGAATGCTCGTCGAAGCAGGCGGATGGCCTTGATAACAGGGCCTTTGGGGTCGTCTGCATTAGAGCCAAGAGCGTCCTTTGCAGTGGGCGCGAGCGGAACTCCGAACAGTATGACCGACTTGAGGCCTTTTGCGACGAGCGGGGTGAGGTATGGCACGACCTTGTTCAGGCCTCGGCGGTGGATGTTTGGTAGGGAGGGAATGAGCGTCTCCTCGTCAGGTTGGTCGGAAACGAAGAGGGGGTAGATGAGCATCGACTGTGCCAAATATTAGTGTCTGCGACATGCCACACGACGTCATTTCCCGCGCACCTTTGTGAGCTGTCGCTCGGCCTGCCATGCTCGCGATAATGGATGGCTGTATCCTCCGTGCAATTGACTCTTGATATCTCCGGATATGCTCACGCTGGTGGCGGCAGTGCTGGCGTAGGACCGGGTTGAGCGCGCTTCCGATATTTGAGAGCGCAGGTCGGGTCGCTCCGGCCGTTCCGAATTCCGGTAGGCAATGTCTGAGACGAGCGAAGAGAAGGACATGGCGGGCGTAAGGCAACGTTGTTTCGTGGGTTGGTGGGACGTGTTTAGGAATTTGAGTCTTGGTTTGTGCAAAGAAAGTGAGATGTCGCTGACGTTGGTTTGGGCCCTTTCGGGGAAAGGTGGCGTTCGTAGTAAATGCGGACAGCCGAGGCGTTAAAGTTTCACTCCGACTATAGCGAGCACACTATAACTGTGAGAAAGCGGAGTAGGTGACGGTACGGAGTATGAGATAAGGGTATCGGAATGAGAGGAAGGAATTGGAGAACCCAATTCTTAGAATCTTTGCAATATACACAAGATGCGGCAACACTATACGCATACGAGATGCAGATGGCGGCCGAGCCATCTCCGGCGACGAATGAGAGGCACGGGATTACTGGAAATCAGATAAGGTTAGCGTCGGATCGTGCTACTCAGCCCTGAGGTCGAGAAGTCGGGAAGGGGCTTCAAGCTTCAAGCTTCGTCACATGACGCATCGCCAAAGTATCCACCCGTGAACCAGTCGCGCATCGAGCGCATACGATCCTCAGATCCTTCCACGATAGCATGATGCCCGTGTTTCGAGTTGCGAGAACCAGGCGGGGCCTACGACTATTTATGACGGTGTGGCTGTTCACAATTTCCCGTTTCGTGCCGTCTGTCTACCCACCATCTCAACCTCCACCATCTCATCGGCCCGTTTACACTGGGGGCTTACTTTTGTCTGTTGCTATCACCAATGCTCTTCCGGGTCATCTCAGGCCGTCGTTGATCAACGATAAATACAAGTGTGTTGAGGTGGCGACATCGCGAAGTTGCCCTTTTGGCTCGGAAAAGGCTGATGAGCTACATGGGATTCCGACACAACAACAACAACAACATCATCAAATAGCATTCGCAGTATCAAACTCACGAACTTCTGCGCCACTTACACATGGAGCCACGTACAGCAGATCACTGATCGTATCCCAGCAAAACCAAATTGCTGGCAAGGGCCTTCATGGAAAAAGCAACACCAGAAAACGAAAACATCCCTATCTCAATCCGATGTTGTTGAGTCAAGGGCAAAGCGGGGTCGATCCTCTAACCTATGACACCCTTCGCTAATCTCGTAGTCTCGCTTATCACTCGCGTGGAAAAAACGTGTATAATTACCGACGTCGTCTTTTCTTTTCCAATGTCGACAAGACCCCGCTGCATCTAGCGTGAACCCTAGCATCAAAACAAACACTACAAAGCAAAACCTGTGTACCTAGCGATGATAACTAGGACTCACTTAGTCTAAGGAGGCGCCATCTGCCCAATCATGCTACATCGCCTCGTTCGTTGTTTCTGGTAGTCTAATAAGTGCCACACGCACTGGACGCTAGGCCGACTACCGCGCAAGTCCCTTGACGGTCTTCACTGCAAGGAGACGAAAGCAGCACTACAGAATCATTGTACTGACATGGATAATTGTGCCGCCAACGCGGGGCAGCTAACATTAGACCCCGTAGACCGTTTATTATCTTGGTATTGTGCATACGCGGACAAACAAACTACAAGCCACGTCTTATAAAATTGACATCGTATATGTAGGGGCATGCAAGGCACGAGTCCATCTGCATCACCCGACATCAGATCTTGATCCTTCATTCAATCATTGACAATGGCTGACCTACGATCGACCACTATCAGCGTCAACCTGACTCTGATTGTGTTGACTTCCCTTGCAATCAGCTGCCGTATCGGGAGGAAAATACGGATACTGAGCAGTTTCGGCTGGCATGATGGTGAGTTCGGCTCATTGCTCCTTTGTCTAACCATCTCCTCATCGTACTGACCGACATGAAGCACTCGCTACCTTTGCGGCGTCTGCCGCTATTATCCTGTCCATCATTCAGATGTACGCCACACGTCTCGGAGCTGGTCTACACGAGAAAGATATTGACCCAAACAACATGGAGCTACTACTCAAGGTGCGTCACCTCGGGCTTGTCATCCACATTGCACCTACTAACTCGATATGTGTCAGTTGGTCATGGCAGCCCTACTCTTTTACTTCTCCGTCAACTGGGCCGTGAAGCACTCACTGCTCTTCTTCTACGCCGAACTCACTTTCGAACCCTGGGCCCGTCGATGGATCTACGTCATGCACGTAATCGCCTTCTCCTTCGGTTTCACCTGCGTCGTCACAAGCATCTTCCAATGCATCCCCGTCGCGAAATGGTGGGACCCAACCATTGATGGATACTGCATCAACCTGAACAACTTCAGCTACTTCAACTCTATTTTCATGTTAGCCTGCGATCTCGTGCTCTACATCATGCCAGTCATCTTCACCTGGAACCTCAAGCTACGTCGTCACCATCGAATCGCCGTCAATATCCTTTTCGCGATGGGAGGCTTGGTCCTGGCCGCAAGTGCCACACGTGTCTATTTCGTACACCAGCTCGCCACCAAAGCAGACTTCCCCTTCCAATACGCCGCGTCCATGATCTGCGCCGTCATCGAGAACCACCTCGCCGTCATCGTCGCCTGCGCCCCTAGCATCAAAGCAGTCCTGATCCGATACTACCCCAGCCTGCAAAGCAAATTCGAGAGAATCATCTCGGACGAGGGCTCAAGGGGCAAAGGCTACAGGACTGGGAGTAGTGATCGCGTTACCTACGACCCGGAGGCTGGAAGCGCTGGCTCCAACGACGTCAAGTTGCAGATTGTCAAGACTCAGGATGTCAAGGTTGAGAGGCCTGAGAGGCCCGAGAGGCCAGATGCGAACAGGATGATTACGAGCAATAGCGCGAAGAGTGAGAATAGTTTGCTCGGGCGCTGGTGGCGGGCGCCCAACAATTGGAATGTTGGTGTTGAGAGTAATGCGAAGTAAGCTTCAGGGTTGTGTATGTCGCCGTTGTCTAGGAGTTATATTCGCTCTTCTCATGTATTAGTTCAAGGACCGTTGTATGCATCAATACCCAAAATCGATTCAATGTTCGTCACATTCCTTTTGCACTTCATCCTTTAGCCTCTACCATGACGCTTGTATCTCATTTCCTGATCCACACCGAATCCCTTCCAGCTTCACTCTGCTCCATATCCTCCCAATCACTCTCTTCCTCCCTGACAACTACCGGAATAGCCGCCATCAATGGCCTAGGCCCTGATGTCTTCACATGTTTGAACCCAGTCGGTTCGCTAATGCACATCTCCTTTTCTTCCTCTATCTTCTCCGTCCTTTCCCATTCGAAAAGAAGCATATTCTTGACCTTGGCAATAATCCTCTTCCAAACACCATCTTTGGTTGGCTTGGTGTCGACGGTAGGGGTGGAAGGAGGCTGTGGCAGCGCGGTTACAGTGGCGTCTTGCGCATCTTGGAGATTGGAGAGTGTAAGATTCGCTAGGTGAGGCTTTACTGGACGCGGGGACGTCTTGTTGTTGAAAAGGATTGAGCTCATAGGGAGGAACTGTCTTGAGCCATTTGGTGCCATTTTTCTCGAGACGAAGGAAGATGTGGTATGGAGTGCGTATTGACAGATGAATGAGCGCTCATCTCATTCGATGGTGATGATGTGAAGCTTTGTCGTGTCGAAGTGAGGCGCAACGCCGTAGAGGTGGCCGAGCAACGCGTGGTGTGCGAGAGCGGCAGTGCAATGAGGATGCAGTACGCGGTGGATTCAAAGGACGATGGTTGTCTTCTTATCGCGATTCAATTTCGTCGTTAGGATCGATGCTTCGAAGGTTACGTTATTTTGCAAACGGTGTTCTGGAGCGACGGTGAATGCAACGGTAACGTGAGCGGTGTATGAGCGCGCTCATGGTACATCGACAGATTGAACGATGAAGAATCTCCAGTCCCCTTCAGCACAGGTGCTCTGGAGGCGTTCTAATTTGGGCTATAATAAGCCATCAGTTCCCACTAGGACAGTGCATAGTGTATTTGCATTGCAACCAGGAAACACAGCTTCCCACTATGAGGCCGAATGACGGCTGATATTGGAGATAATTGTCCATGAGCCATCATCGCGAGGTATCATATCCATCATGCAGTGTGCGGTATAAGATGAGGGCCAATGACTTAGAGCATGGGAGGCTGTTTTCATTGCATAAATTTGCAAGAGCCGCGAGTAGAAGATGTTGCAAACGTGCACACTTTCTCCACAACTTTCGAATTAGAATTGGAGACAGGAATAGTTGAGGACGATCTCATGATACGTAAGGAAACCATGGTAGCGCTTCGGTCATCGTCGTACTCACTGTAGAAATTATTTGTTAATACTAGCCTCTCGCGAATGGCTCCTTGCAGAAGATCAGGCTCATATCTGAATAGAGGCGCTGAGGTCCTCGATGCCTCAATTTTGAGGGAAAAGGACGACGCTACTTCGTTGAAGGTAGAGCCAAGATGACGTTGTCGGTCGCCGCGCGGCAACACTAATTCATCGGCCTTATGTACCTTCAACCCAAACAAACCGAAATTTCCCCATAACTCCGCGCATCCCGCCCATCATTTTCGCAGAATACCAAAGTACGAATCAATTCAGCATTGCTACCCCGGATTTATGTACAGTAGTTTAGGCAGTCTGGGGTAAAATCGTTGACGGAACGATTTCTGCCACCAATCATACGACACAACGCCATCGGTGTTTGCCTCCACGCTTCCCCGCAAAGTTACGATGTAGTGGTATTCCACACGCTTATACAATAGTCGGCCCAGAATGGTAAGTGCGGCGGAACAATTACAGATTCTAGTAATCCAGTAAAGGGGTATATCCCGTTGTCTTGGTATAAGTATTGGCCGGTCCCGATGACCAGGTAACAAGAGCCCGAGTAAAGCATTATACGTCAATCATTATGGCATTCCGTCTTACATACATCCTTGCATTTGCAAGCGTCCTTTCCGGTGCATTTGCCGATAAATACTCGAGAACGAAGCCCGATCGAGGCGCTCTAGTCGTCGATGCATCCGGCGCAACCATCGGCAGCTACCCCAACATCAGTGTCGCAGTGGGCGCTCTGCACAACTTAACCGATGCACAAAAGATCTTCATCCACCCTGGCATCTACAACGAACAAGTGTACATTCCCCCTCATGCCGGTCCCATCACTATTCAAGGTTACACGAAGAACGCTCGTGGCTACAAGGATAACGAAGTCACTTTAACATTCAACCTCTCGCGCCAGACGCCCGGACTTGCCAACAACGACGCCACAGCTACCCTTCGCTTAAACACATCTAATGTTCGGCTATACAACCTTAACATTGCCAATACGTTCGGCCAGGCCAGACAGAATGGACAAGCTCTAGCACTGAGCGCGCAAAAGACAGACCAAGGTTTCTACGGATGCAAGTTCACCGGTTACCAAGACACCATCTATGCCAACGTTGGGCGTCAAATCTACGCAAAGTCATTCGTCAACGGAGCTGTCGATTTCATCTTCGGCCTGCGAGCAATTGCATGGTTCGACAAGGTCGATATCGAGGCTATCGGCCCTGGCTACATCACCGCCAACGGTCGTGAAGCCGAGAACAACACCAGCATCTACGTCTTCAACCAGGTCAACGTCTCTGGCACCAACGGAACCAACACGACCGTTCTGGGTCGTCCTTGGAGACCTTTCTCCCGAGTCATCTTCCAGGACAGCTATTTGAGCGATGTCGTCAAGCCTGAGGGATGGGCTCGATGGGACAACACGCAAAGCACTGACAACATTGTCTACCAGGAGTACAAGAACTATGGACCTGGCGCAAACATTGTCGCAAGAGCGAACTTCTCCTCCCAGGCGGTCGCGCCAATCAAGGCATCGGATTTGTTTGGAAAGAACTTTAAGAAGGAGAACTGGGTTGATGCAGACTACTTGTAGATGTGGTAGAGAATTGGAGGTGTATATTTTGCCATAATCGATTCGATAGAACTAGTCATGTTACCACCCAGTATTTCTCTACTCGACCTGATGGTCTTTCCTGACCACAAGCGTACTGACGCTGTGTACCAAATAACCTCGCAGAGAAGGTGTAAGTTTGCGACCAGCGCAGATCCACCAATCCCCTCAAGCAGCACTATCAGTGACTGGCTTAGCCGGCACAGCCTCATCCGAACGAATTCTCGGAAACCGCCTCCAAGGTACATCCTCGGATGTAGCGGTTACGCAAGTCCAAAGAAGACTCCAGATCTTCAGAATCCGGTAATGGGGTACGGTGAACGACGTAAGGCCAGCAAAGATCTTGCTCTGTGTCAATGGAAGATAACTCTAGTCTCGAATGACGCATGCAGTCAGCTTGTTGAAGTTCATGTACGCCATGATCGGGATGTGCGGGACAGCACGAGCTTCGAGCATCGATCTCACCTCAACTGTGATTTCTTTGCACAGTCGAAGCAGGGTTGTACCATCAGAGAGAGACTTTTTTGTGTGTTTCCAGCGCACGACGCGGGTGTTTGTGGAGGTGTACGACTTTACCCCCAGAGCATGTGCATATATTTCATTGTGGATTTCGGGCGAGTAACGTAGAAGGAAGTTGGCCTCGAGGCCGCGAGAAGGCTTAGAGATGCCGGCACCAATTGTGCGAGTCTGAAACATGCGCACTTTCTTCACCGCATCGTCGACGTCCTCGCGTTTGATTCTCGTTCCCACGTCCATGATGGCAATTCGACCACTTGACGACAATTGGCGCTCAGAGTCCATAGTGAGGGATTTTGAAGTGAGAACTAGGGAATTTGATGAGCCGCTCTGGGCTAATCAGTAAATCGTCCTGCGATTAACTGCAGACTATTTGAAGATAAAGATGAATTCCATTTAAGTAAGAGAGTGATGATTGAGAAGAAAAAAATACGAACAAAAAGGAACAGACGAAGCTAGGTAAGGCTCTTGCAGATAGTGTAAGCTTCGTGTTCTATTGTGTTCAATTGAGCCCGATCTGGTGAGCTGAAGACAATAGCTTCAGTCCGTGCAAAGCAGATGACTCGATTTCATCGCGTCATGCTATTGTTCATTCTATTGCATGTTTCCAGGTGAAGGTGAGAACTTCGCGATGCTATACTTTGGTCCAGCGATAGACCACAGCTGGAAAGCCCCTCTCAGCCGCTGTAATTCAAGCGATACCTCTCTAAACGAACATGAAGGGAAGTTTTGAGTTAAAGAACCCGCAACGACAATAATAGCCGTTGGGTGAAAGCGAAGGACATCGCCTATCGCAAAGAGCATTTCCAACTTGTCGCTCGAAGTCACGAATTGAAGTGGTTGGTTGAAGACGAAGGTGGTTGGCAAAATCCGGGAGGTTAGGCGGGGTGGCGTGGACGCGATGACCACGTGATGACGTCCTTGCACCCGTCACGTTTTCCCTGCCATCATTGCGAAAGAGCGAATCGAGATGCAGCGATGGCTTGGGAAAAGCTCCAGTCGTCTTAACCAAAAATACCCATGCATCTGACGGATTGTATGGAGGCTCAATGCTGGATTGATGTTTGAGTCACACTGCCTCTGCTATACGTTATTGCCTTGACCGCGGAAGCTTGACCGCACATGCAAACATCAATAGCGTCTGGTGATTGTGTCGCACAAATTCATCGTCGCGCATCTATATCACCGTCATAGATGAGACAGGATAAAAGGCACGGTAGGGACATGCCGAGTTCCCAGTGATCGGCCATGGAGTTTAATGATGACGTTCTGGTAACATCAGAGGCGCGTCAAGACGGTCTTTAACAAACATGCGTTCGACATGACCCGCAACTTTCAGCAACCTACGACCCTGTACTTGCGATCTCTTTTAGAAGACTCGATAATACAATTAACACACACCCAAAAATCAAAATGGCATCACGGTTCCTCCAAAGCTTTTCGCGCTCAGCGCCCACCGTGGCCCGCTCGTTCCAACAGCGAAGCGAAGGTAGCTATGCTCGCCCAAGAACGATAAAAAAGCATCTAACATATTTCGCTCTAGTTCTCGCACCAGTCCTCTCCCGCACATACGCCAGCAGCGCCGCACCCGGCCAATCATCCAACGTCTCCAACCCCCAAGCAAGCAGTGCTGAGAGTCAGGATATCAACAAGAGTGCCTCACTCGGTCGAACAGACAAGAACGATGGCGACCACGCGTCGATAGCAAACCCAGTCAGCCACCCAGAGCAGGATCGAGCAGGCGCGACGGAGGAGACGACGGAGAGCCAGGACCACATGAAGCATGACCCAAAGGAGTCGGATGCGAAGAAGAGGGAAAAGACGCTAAACTACGGCCAGAACAAGCCTTTGGACGCGGCTGATAAGTAGGGGTGTATAAGAGTATGAAAATGAATTGGAGAGCCTGTGTACGATTAGAAAGTCGAAGAGCAGTTTGAACGCTATGGATGCGACATCTATCCCGAAAATGTGTCGTGATGACATGCCCAGGAGCCTTATAGAGAGAAGCTCAACTCCCATATCCCTGCTGGAGAATTTAGCTTTCACCGTTCGCTCGTCTACCCTAGATTACAGTCCTCCGAACAGTTAAGGATAGACTAACATCTTCAACTCAAAACTTCCAATCGACGATAAGCAGATCAAGGTGACAAGAGCTTATAATGTCATTTCAATAAAGAGTGATACAACGCTCTTCATGAGTGAAATACGTCTTCCAATCTTCGATGGTCCCATCTGAGTTACCGAAGAACCGCTGGAAATGCCCAAATCTCTTGTACACCTTGGTGCCATCGAAGTCAGCCTCTCTTAATAGCAGACCTTCCACCAGACCAATTTGGTAACCGAGTACAGCAAGTAAACATTCGCTTCTATCGTTTGGTAGATCATGCATGTCGTCCATCACGAAGAACGTGTTTTGATCCGCGTCTGGTGTGATCATTAGTCCATTATTTTCGCCTGGCTGAACGGTCTTCCATTCGAAAATTTGACACCAGGTTCGAATGGTCAACAGTAGCGCATTCTCTACATGTGCTTCGGGCCGTTTTTGGCTGACTGAAAATAACTCGTACGCTTCCGTAGTTGCTACAAACGTTATGTCTCGTCCATGAGTCTTCCACATGTGCAATTGGCCATCCATTGATGCCCAACTCCAACTCGGAGTGATGATCCAACTCCCACCTAGCGTTTGACTCGAGGACTTGGGAAGCCTTTGCGGCACTCGCTCCTTAGCACGTAATGCGGGCAGAGCTTTTCTGTGTACTCTCCAATTCAAGCTGTGTGGTAGCGACTTGCGGAAATGACCAACAAGGTACGTGTCGTTCATCGCATGACCCATGCGAGTTGCAATAGCTGACAGAGCCACCAACTTGTCTACTTGAGGATACGTGAGCTCACGCGCAGTGTATTCCATAAGAATCTTGGACCAAACCTCCTCCAAATCCCCACTGTCTGAAGTCTCTGGGACGGATTGTATTGAGAGACCAATCATCCTTCTTAGAAATTCTCTCAGGAAGTCGGAACAAAGTGTGAAGCCACGTGGAAGCGATTCGCTTGCGTGCGGAACTTGTTGGCAATCCCAGAAAAATTCACCGTGGCCGATGCTCAGAACGCGGGTAGCCAGCAGACGTTCTTGCAAAACCCATGCTCGATATGCGATGGGCTGTTTATAAAGTGCCTCCTTGAAGTACTCATCCGATAATATAGTGTAAGTGCGAGTTTCTTCGGAATTGTGACCCTGCGGTGTAAAGACGATATCGGCTTCGAACGGCAATGTAGAATCGAAAGTATAACCTCCAAGGCAACTCTGGTTCGGGTGAGCAGCTTGTGCCAAGGAGAGGTTGACTACACAGTTCGAATATACGTCTTGCATCCGCCCACACTCTAATTGCCAGTCTTCGCTGCTACCGAGACCAGACTGTATGATACAAAGGGCGTCAATCCAGAGATAGCGAATGCCAAGCCCTTCTGTAAGCCGTATAGCCTCCCGGAAAGCGATTGGAAGCCTGGAATAGGATACTCCAAGCTGGAATTCTTGTAGGTTGCTTGCTGTTAGACAAACGAAACTGGGATTTGTGCCCCAACAGTAGCTCAAGGCAGCGTATGGACCTGAAGGTTTATCTTGTCTTGGAAAAATCAGGCGGACTTTGTGGCCTTCAAGTTTTAAAAGCCGTGTAGGGTATGTGTGTGGTTGAATATGCTTCTGGCATTGCTCATGTTTGTCTAGACAAGTAGTCATCCACTTCTGCGCAACCTGCAGGGATCTGATCGTCGGTATGGTGAACCGTCTGTTTTGTATGCCAGCTGCTACCGGCAATAACGATGTCCGTACTGCTAAGAAGGACCGCAGATCGTAGGCGTCGATTGTTCTGTTCTCCGTGTGCATGCGCAAGTGTAAGTGCATATGGGCGTTCCTCGTTCGAAAGTTGGACAAGTCGAAATTATATTTAACTGTGAGCCAGTCTTTCAAACAGTCTTTCTTACTTCCTATCTTTTTCAGTAGAGGAGTACATATGTAGCAACCGGCTGCTGCTGCTTTGGTGAAAGATGCAAGGCTTGTATGATGATCGCCTTCGTTAACGCCGCTTGAGAACATGCACGAGCAAACTTCGCAAAGCATTTCGTTTCCCCTTGATAATCATGTAGCTCCCTAATTAAGTAAGCTGAGCGGAGCAACGGTGATCGATGGCATATGCGTGTCGGGCTGACACTAGGAAGACAAATTGTGGCGTCTTCGGTCGTGCGTATTGTGGATTAGCCAGTGGCTATGAACGACCGGAGAGGGTAAACGTTTTGCAGCTGTTAGGCCTCAATATATGGAAGTAAGAGTATTTGTGGTGTCAGTGCAAGGTTTTCCCAGGTCGAGAGTGTGATGCGGGGTGGCAGCTTGCCTAACCCGGAACGCATCTTCGAAGGGCTGCCAGGGCCACATGCATGGAACGTTTGCGCGCGTAGCATCCCTAATCATCTCGCAAAGCCAGCATCCACTCCTCGTTATCCAGTGTTCAAGTTCTTCGACATCGTGAACGCTCGCACGCATAGCTGCAATTGCACTAGTTCGCTCTCTAGCCGACCTGGCAGTGAATTCCGTTGGTCCCGCCACACTATACCGTACCGACTCAATGCGCCACAGCGCGTGTCCGTATTGATGAAGCCGATTACCGTTCGGAGGAGATGAAGAGCGAGTGAGAAGGCGGATTGTTTCGCAGTTTCGAAACTGTTAAACACGGAACAGCGGGCACTAGTGTTTTGGCATCCCTACTCCACCAATGAACAGCGACTAATCATCACTAGTGTCTCGGCAACATCACCTATCGTTCATGCTACAACCCCTAAACCTCCACAATAGCTCTAGACCTAACGGCGAACATGTCTAGCTTGGGCGAAAACACCAGGAGGTGTGAAACTTCGGTGGAGGCTCGATAGTGTTGAGGGAAGGGTGCCCTGGATTGTGGCACGGTAAGCATGAAGCCACCCACCCTTCAGCCTTAGGCATAAGTACCACGAGGGCGCCACCTCTTAGATTTTCCTCATCGCGCTTCATTCTCTTACCAACTTTACTTACTATCTTTTCAATCTCGTCTATCGTTTATTACATTCGTTACAAGGCACAGGATGTCTCTTTACACTCTTTTCGCTGCGGGTCTTCTCGCCCAGTTCGCAAACGCGTACACCGTCATCCAAATCCCTCCTCCTTTCATGGAAAAGAACATCGATCCCATTGTCTTCCCTGGAGAGTTCGACAAGTCGCATCTTCACTCTTTCTATGGCTCCGACGCCGTTGTCGCTGGCACCAAGACCAGTGCTGAACTCCAGAAGGGTTGCACCACCGCCGAGAACCCCAACGATCTGTCGAGCTACTGGGTCCCTACTTTCCTATACACCAAGGATGGCAAGAACTACGAGCCCGTACCCGTCTTTCGCTTCAGCGCCTACTACAACTTGGGCGAAACCCCCGCCGAGGTTGCCATTCCGCAAGATCTGACGATGGTTGCTGGCAAAGCCGGCGCCATGACTCAATCAGCCATGGACGCCAACGCAAAATCCGAGTGGGCCTGCGAGAGCGAAAGCGTCGCTCTCGACGCCAACGGTTTCCCCTCCAAGACTTGCTCTACCCACGTCCAGCAACTCCTCTACTTCCCCCAGTGCGTCAACGAGCAGACCCTCGAGACCGGCTACAAGAGCCGTGAGCACGGAACCCCCAACTGGTGCCCTGCTGGCATGAAGTCAATGCCCCAACTCCGATTTTCCATCCGCTACGATCTCCGCAAGGCCCTGCCTAACGGCTGGTCTGGTACCGCGCCCTTCAAGCTGGCTTGCGGACCTGCTTGGTGCTCTCACGGTGACTTCATCAACGGTTGGGTTCCTGAGGCTGCCCAGAACATGGTCGGTACTACCAGCGAGAAGCAGCATTTTGCTCCCGTCAACGGTCCTCTTGGCGACTACAAGGCCAAGTCTTCTTGCAAGGCTGCTGATGCTGACCCGAGCCATGGCACTAGCAACTATGCTGAGAGTGTTGCCGCTATGGCTAAGCGCAGCGTTGGCGCTTGGGGCTGGGAGACCAGATCCAGGCTCGCTCGTCTGGTCAAGGGCGCTTAGGTCCAGAGGTATTTACTTGATACCCGACATAGCTGGCGGCATCAGCATACGGCATCTGAGAAAGACTGAGAAGATGTTCATGTATATATTTAAGAAGAGGACTAACTCTAGTTGAGATCAAAAACACGTACATATTGGAACTGCAGTAACTTGCAATTTACATACTCACCACAATTTCTTTTCACACATCCGCAAATGATTTGACATCCTGCTTCCAGCTGGCGTGCTTACATGCGTCAATCATCTTGACCTGTTCTCCGTCTGTCTCCGCGATAGCCCAGTTAGTTGTACCACTCCAAGATACCGTCAAGGACGTATGAAGTCCTGACCGTGCCGATTATGGAATTGATATAACGCCCGGCTAATAATGCCATGTTCTTGCTGTGTTCTGCTCCGATCCTCTCTAGAAACTCACGAAGGTCCATACCATGACGCATGGGATCAACCCAGTCGAGGTCGTACTTGCTCAGCCCTCTAGTCTTCTTCAGCAGTCGAACACCGGTTGTACTTGTAGCCCAGAAAATATTAGGGCAGACATGAACGTCCGATAAGTTTTCGTCCAAGAATCTCAGATGGCCATGCTCCTTCAAGTAATAAGCTGTAGCTTCCAGATCATGCGCCGATTCTTGATCAGCCTGGTTGCCAGGGTCAACCTCCAAGTCTATACAAACAATTGGAATGACTTCGATACATCCAAGGAGGATGCCGACCGTATTCACTCGCCAATCATCCTGCAGTACAGATCCGTAGTCGTGGAGATCTTGAACGAACAAGCGAGTGATCGATGGGAAGCGGCCGGCTTGGTAGGATGAACGCAGCTCCCGAGCGACGAGATTTTGTCCGCGTAAAGACTTGGCCAAGTCACCTTCTAGGTTCTGCCCAGTCGTGTCTTCCTTGGGTGCATACTGGGGGCCTAAATGGGCATATTGCGAGTGCAGTCGGTCGGCTATGTCCATGTAGGTTATGTCGAGAAACAAACTATGTAGTTTTGGTAGACATGGACCCACCATGAGCACCCCAAAAACGAAATACGAGATTGTATGTCCCTGTAAGCGTAAATGCTCGAGGTGAGGCACTCGTCTTCTCAAAGCCTCACATAGACAGTTGGAGTCCGTTGATCGAATACTCCCCGAGCCTATCGCATCATGATCATGCTCAAACGTAGCAAACTCAACGGTTGAGCAGGACGCGGGCAGGGAATCGACTAATGAAGCTGATGTTTCGAGCGGAAAGATCCCTTCTTGCTCATTCTCACCGAAACTATACGTAGGCGGATGACGGAAAGGGTCGATAGGAGCTTTGGTGATCTGGTACGAGAATAATGTCATTCCGTCCAGCCGGCTCGCGATTAGTGTGGCCAGTTGCTTCGATGCGGCGGTCAAACACAAGCCATTTGTCGCGGTTGAATCGCTTGGCAATGAGCTCAGTCGTATAGAGAGGTTGCGTACAAGGACGCTTGTAGTCGTGCGCGCCACTTCAAGTGAACGGATGAAGGGCAAAACGCTGCTGTTGTTGATCGGAATGTATGTCCAAAGCAGTGGTGCCCCTAGCTCATTCCATTCGTGACAGACTCTCAATGCGCTTGTATAGTCTCGTCGGACCATCCCCGTCCCTAAGTAAAGTATCTCGAGCACCTGGAGCTTCAGCTCAGTGGGCAAACAGTCGACGGGTACCGTAGGCGGGGGTATTTGCTGCGCCATGACAATGGAGAATCGAGGTGAGTGAGGGAGCTGGTTCGGTTGTAGGCATTGAGGTAATAGGCGTTTGAACCAAAGCGTCTAACGCGATACATCGCGCTAGTGAAGTGAGAGACTTTGGGCAGGAACGCCTGTCTTCTTCGGAAGGAAACGACACAACAACACAACACTGCACGTGTCAGCAAGAAGAACGTCTTTTGAGCAAGCACAACAGATACTGAGATTACATCGTAAATTTATTTAGATTCGCTCAATAGATCACATCAGTACCACATCATCTCTCCTAGTGCAAGAACTCGTTGAAGAAGTTCACAGCACTCCTCTTGGCCCTCTCCAAGCCATCCTTCTGCTGCTGGTTGTTGGGGTCGCCACGCGCAGCAAAGCCGTGCTGTAGACCAGGGAAGTAGATGTACTCCCACTGCACACCAGTCTTTGGCAGTATCTCCAGTGTAGCCTTCTTCAGCTCTTCTGTGTATGCGAAGTCGTTCTCAGGGGCGAGGATCTGTACAGGCACCTTGACGCCTTCGATCTCGGACTTCTCGAGAAGCGATGGGTGAGCGGTCGAGATGGCGTCGATGAGGGAGGGCTCAGCAGCAAGCTTGAAGCATGCCCAGCCGCCGTAGCAGAAACCGATGGCAGCGACCTTCTTGTATTGCGATTTGAGAGTTTGAGCGTGCTGCTTGATCTCGGGCCAGCGGATTTCCTTGGTGTTACGGCCAAGGAAGGCCATGAGGTCGAACTTCTTCTGCTTCTCGGGGTCGGATAGCGCGTCTGGGTCTACGACTTCGCCGCCGAAACTGCGCAAGGACTGTTAGCTGCACTGAATGCACATACTGCGTCGCTACTTACACATCGGGTACGTAGACGGTCGCATTGGCTTCCTTCGCATAGTGATCTGCCAGAATGCGGATGTTGGGAAGAGTCCAACCGAAGACGTCGGTGATAATGAGGACAGCGGCATCCTTGTTGTCGCCGGTGACATAGCAGTCAATCTGGTCGAGCTTTGTCACCTTGCCGACGGACTCGCCATTCCACTTGAAGCCGGTCTTGCAGTTATCACAAGACATCTTGAGGGTATATGAAAGGAGTTGATGAAGTGTAAGGTGAGTTTGGTGTGATGTTCCAGTGTTGTCTGAGAGATTTGGCGGGGTTAAGGGGTCTTAAGTCGTTCAAGCTTCAGGTGGGGTAGACTCGATTGTTCTGCAGTTACGTGCATGAGGGAAGGAAAGATAACCCGGCATCTGGCCGATTCCATGATGAGAGCCAATCATGACCCTAGAGCGGAATATTGCATTGACTTGACTTTCCGTTGTTGTCAACAGGTGGATGATGACGATGATAGCTGGTGCCGGATTTTGCGTTCGCGCAAAATTAAACCCGAGTCTGTTTCGCCGACATCCGCCGCGTCGCTGACCGAGACGGACTCCCGATTCACGAGTATGACGTAATCAGCGGCCTTGATCAAGGACCCAGGCTTACAATACATTTTCTGAGTCTTGCCTATACTGTTTGTCCATGCCAACTCTAATAGCCCTTTTCTTGTCTGCATGTGTTAGGACGACGACTGGACCTGTATATATGGAGGCCATGCGGTCTGACAGCGTAGCAGCGTAGCAGCGTAGCCATGTATCAAGACACCCTTGGTTCATAAAGCGAAGTAGATTTCGCAAACGAGCCCATCAAATTGGTGTTCCGATGCTGCGTTTCACTTGATAATTGGACTTTGAAGGAGATATAGCGCGCTCATGTTAGAAGGAGCCATCGGCCGCCTACCGCGGTAGCTATAGGTCAAGCTAACGGCACCTGCCTTATCTGCAAAGTAAACTGGAAAAGCATCACTTGTTGCCCTGTATCCAACCAAACCTACTTTCCAATTGAGTTTGGGCTAGTCCTTCTTGCCCGCCGGTTGCAAAGGATCTTCGCATCGACTTCATTTTCAGGATGAAGCGGTCGCTGGATGTGGGTGTCGGAAGCACTTCTGTCGTACATGATTACAAAGGACTCACCAAGAGAAGGCGGCATATAGTACTGTTTCTCCGTCCAGTTGGTCTTGATGTTTTCCCACAAAGTCCGTTGGAACCAACCTACAAGCCAGCGCGGACGAAGGCTGTAGACGGAGGCTACAAACCCTGTTGCGGTGTCATTGAGGGACCAAGAGGAACCACGAAAGTGACTGATGTCTAACGCTGACCAGATACGACGGATTCCCTGAGCATCTCTTTTCGTGATCTCGGCATTTGTACGCGCTTTCACGGCACAAATGGTCCTTTTACGATCAACCTCGGACTGGTATTCCTCAAGCTTGACCGCAGCCATCTGGGGAAATCGCCCTTCCGCATCGCCAGTTTTGTTACCCAAGGGCATCGGTATGCAACCAAGGACATTCCACTCCCAAGAGAAACCTAACTCTGCGCTTTTCTCGGAGATGTCCCAAATTGGTTCTGGTGGTACCTGGGCTCCGTGCAGGAACATGTAGTAGCTATGCTCAACTTCATGTCCGATCACGGAAGCGAACATGAACAAAGCTCTGCAGCACTCATTGAGGCTCGGATGATGTGTTGGCAATGTCTTCCGGAAAAAGATGTCAAATTTTCGACTTAGTACGATGCTTGGGTTAGCTATACCTGCACTAGGCGGAATAACCGGAAAGCTTTCGGCGTGGAACTCGTGGAAGAATAGCATGTTTTCCCTTCGGTGATACGTGGTTCCCCAATTCGTCTTCTGGCAGCTGTGAGGAGCAAACATGAATGTCACTACCTTCGCGAGCTCATTGAGATTCGCTTTAACGATCGCGATTGCCTGCGGACTGTTGGAGTACGGCTTCGAGACAAGATAGACTTGGCCTAAAGAGTTTAACCGGCGTTCGCTGAACGTCAGGCGGCTGTACCATAGCAGTGGACCATCCTCACAAAGAAGAAGGGAGACTAGTTGCAACGCAGGTAACATACGCTGGTAGATCTCGACAGGATGCTGACTAGGACCCGTAGCCCAACGGTCAAGCCTGAACATTGGATGGACAAGGTTTGTCAAAGCCGGCGGTCTTTGCGTTGGCTGGGGCCCGTTATACTTGCGTACATGCCAATTGAACTCTAGGAGAAGGCGATGAAGAAAGCTTTCGACAGAACGAGGGTTCGTCATGACCGACAAATGAGACTCCAATGTTCCGTGGTCGCGTGGTTTTGTGAGCCGACTTGGAGTGCTTCTGGCAGTTTAAGTAGATAAAGCAAAGCGCATTAGTCACGAATAAGCTCGCGAATGAGTTATATATGAAAGGAAGTCGGTGGTGACATTCTAAAGTGCTTCCAATAACAGCATAGCAATGTCAGCTTCGCGGATGTCGATTTCGGTGTGTCACATCAGGCTTCACCATGACCACATGCAGAGAGTATCAGTCACATCTTCGTGGCCTATCTGAAACTCATCGCGTATCTGCTGACCATCGTTATGAATGTGGTGATTATGTGGCAGACATTTCGGGAGCCTCAGAAGTCTCAGGCTGTAGATCGTCGACGAAAGGGTGTGTCGGCAGCAAGCCGTAATATCTCGTGCATCATCAGAAGCAGTAGATAATGCTTTGCTTCACGAACATCAGAGTTACGAAGACCGAACTGAGATTAGTGACTACAATATCTGCAGGAGGAATATGACACTCCATTAGGCCCCAAACGTGACTTGTCGGCATGGCCAGTCGCATCACAATCGAGTTAGCCAGCGCTTCCTGACCATACAGGTACTACACGTGGCTCGTATGCTTGGCTGCGTTGCTGTGAACAACATGGAACGGAAATGACGTGGAATGAGAAGTGTAGTGGAAGATTGATGATGAACATTGCGCACTAAGAAGGAATCACCTCGGCTTGATGTCACAACACGCTAGTGTCGCATGTAGCCACTGCCCCAACAACTTCATCAAAGTTCATCTCATCGTCATATCAACCAGCTAATCCACGGTCAGTGTCGTTCCTTTTTCCATGCGATATAACGACGTAAATTCCTGCATCGGTGCGATCATGGCTATGCGTTGATCATTCAGGTCGATCGAGAACATATACTGGAAACACTGCAGCACGATGAATCCACCTCATCACAGCTTTGCCAAGGTCGAACGCGCGACCCATTTCTGCACTTCCGGACGCTCCTGGTGATCTGCAGGAAAGAAGCGAGGCCCGAGAATCTTCTTCTGCACTTTTCCTGTGACTGTCTTCGGAAGCTCGCGATCCGCGATCCTCAGAAGCGTAGGTAGCTTATATCCAGCTAACCTCTCGCGTAGATCTTGTCGAAGATCGTCGATGGTCAAGACGTTTTGGGAAGCGCCGTTCTTTCTCAGCGAAACGGTAGGCATCTCTTCCTCCTGCAGCGAGATGAGTGCAGCGACACGTTGCCCGTACTCCTCATCTGCCACACCAACCACCATGGCTTCCGCAACGTATGGTAGGCTTAGCAGCTCGCGCTCGACATCTAGAGCAGATATCTTGTATCCACCAGACTTGATAATATCCAGAGACGCTCGGCCGATGATAAAGTAGTATCTGCCCTCTCGCCGCGCGATGTCGCCGCTTCGGAAGTACCCATCTTGATCATGAGCGCTTGCGGTTCCTTCGGGATCACGTAGGTATTTTGAGAACATGTGCTAAATCTCCTTAGCGCAGTTACGAAGATGATAAATGAGAAGACATACCGGGCTCTTTACGAGCACCTCTCCCTCGTCTCCCTCGGACAGTTTCACATCAACACCACTGGCGATTTCACCTACAGAGCCTTCCGGGACGGTCTTGTCATCAAGACGCATCTTAAAGATAGCCCCAAATTCAGTAGCTCCGTATCTTTGCAAAATCGGCCTTTGCATTAGGTTCCTCCAAAAGTCGTTGAGTGGTTGGGGTAGCGCTGACGTTCCACATAAGCAGGCTCGGAATTGTCTTGCGCCTGCGGTATACTTGGCTACCTCATCTGGAGGTAGCTTGCATATGTTACGTTGGTAATATCGTCTCATTCTCATGTATATAGTGGGTACGCCGGAGAAGATAGTCAGTCGTTTTCGAGGATCCATAGCGCCATGCTTCCATCGCTCCCACATTTGCTCCGAGTCAAAGCCTCCACTACGAAACTCAATACGACTACCAGACAGAAGGGATGGGAAGAAGTTGATGCCAACACCGGTCGCATGATGTACCGGAAGAACGTGGAGGACAACGTCGTCTTCAGTCAGCTGGTAATGATCCGCTACTTCTAGCGCACAGTCAAAGATAAAAGTCCTTCTCATCACTGCTCCCTTGGGCGCTCCAGTAGTCCCACTGGTGAAAATGACTACAGCGGGCGCATTCTCCTCCAAAGCGCGGTCCGAAGAGATGATGATATTTCCAGCGTCGAGAGTGGGAGACGAGATTGCTGGCTGAATAGCCACAGCTCGAAAAAGCTTGTTACTCCTGGATGCAATCCGCTTTTCCAGGTCAAGACATTTACTCAGGTCCATCGAGCTAGCAAGAACCAGCGCTGCTCTTGACTTCTCAATAAAGTATACTGCTTCTTCTACGGGTAAGGCTGGCGTCAATGGGACTACGGCAGCTCCAAGCGCCAGTATCGCTAATACCGCCACAGTGTATTCATAGCCGCCAGCCGCTACAACGGCTATGTATACCTCATCTCTTCTTTCCAACGCCTTAAGCGTCGAATCCGCCAGTATACCGGTGATACTTTCCCGTAGGCTTAGCATATCCGAGAGTAAATCCAAATGTGTCTTCTGCAGATTCAAGCGGACGTCGTCAATAGCTACGTGCCCATTTGTCCGGTTAGCAACCCGCAGAAGTTTCGCAAAGAGAGGCTAGGATGGATTCAGCACAATGTCATGATTTCATCTGAGCATCAACTGAAAGCCACGTCTTACACTATTCGGGAGCACGTTGCGTCCAGAGTGCTTTGGTATCATATAGCATCGGTCCTCCATCCTGGTAGTGTTTGGTACCCGCTCGAACAACTGAGATGTGGCTGCCGATGTCCACTCCTCACGTTTGCGTACTGAAGCGCAGTGCTAGGTACTGGGCTTCCCAGAGCACATGCGATGAGTCGTATACAGCATGTCATCATAATCACACCCCCCTTAACCGAACCGTACAAGATCGCGGGGAAGATTCCCGAGACCAACCCCGCAACCCTCTTACTCCCGACGCTAAGGGCCGTGCAAGGCCTGCCGCCACACGGCCTGCAGCCGTGATCTAGTGAAATGCCCCTGGTAAGTTCCCGCTACAATGCACCTAGGTACAGAGCATGCCATGGAGAGAATGCCACCACCGGTACCGACTATTTGTTCACGACACAAGTTTTACACGATCTTCAGTCGTCATGCCTCTATCGGAGCAACGTGTCTCTATCCGAGCTTTCAAGGCTACGCAAAAAAAGGAGAAATGTTAGGCGAGTGGCTGTTGCGATGGCGCTGTCGTTCACAGACCAGCAAAATGGTTTGCATCCAGCGGGCATGGTGCTCCGCGACTCAGACATATAATTGCAAATAGATTGTCACATCAGACTTGCTACCGCGGGCCGGGCCTAAGGTCATCACCACGTTCGTGTCATGTCGTTATCGTCATTGTCTTACGCGAAGGATGCGATCAATATCTTGGATATCTTTCGCCCAGCAGATGTGTGGCGAGTAGGCTCAGCATGGTGCGTTCTAAGCACTGATATTCCGGGTGCCTGCGACTCGGCACACATTCAATCACAATGTTGTCGCGCTCTCCCGCCGTCTAACGCTCTGCCGGGTCGTCTATCCGGCCTTGCATACCGCCGTTCGGTGTGCGCGACCACCGATAAACCTTAATCCTACGGTATAGCATAGATCGCCTATCAAAAGAAGAGGCTATGAGGCGTATGCGAGACTTTCGATAGCGTTGCAAATATTTCCGACAACACAGTGGACTGGAATCAGTCCGATTGCTCAGAAGAACCTGCTGTTTCCTATCTGAAGGCGTCGCATGCATGAAGCTCGTCGCTTATTGGACAGCAGCGTTGCACACAACATAGGGCGCTTATTGGCATCAGTCAGCCACAATGACTGCAGCGGCATCAAATTCTATCTTCGTCGTCCTGCTCCAGACAAGGGTCCTGTTTGATTGTTCCTTACCGATGATTACGGTGTTTGCTGGCAATTCAAGCTGGTGACGACCCACTAACCGAAGCACCGCCGCAACGTGTCTCCTTAGGAGCCTTACCGATCCGATGACGCATCGCTGTCTGCCCTCAAAGCTTTCTGAAATGCGATACATCACACCGCTATCCGTTAGATGCTATTTGGGGCATCACCATGGTAGCTAGCCAGGCTGAGCTCTCAGTAGTTGGGGCTGGTTAGTCGAAGAGTTAGGACAATCGTGTCAACGCTCACTGGCACGTCGGAAACAACTAGGTGAGCTGTGCTGTGCTGGTTGCTGGTCACTCGATGTCGCGGATCCCTCTAAGCTCCTATAGTACGCTGCTAAACGCGGGTGCATTCTGTCGCAAGCGGTGCGGCCGCAAAAGCATCCAAGCGCCTGGTCATAGGGCTGCGATTTTGCCTTGCTTGAGGTGCTCACCGACTATAGAAGGGCAATACTACCGGTGTATCGATTCGCCTACAGCCAGTGTGGCATCGATGATCAAACATTGCCTCGTGGTAGCCTGGTTACATTGACCATTCACATTGGGTAGCGGCCAAGCCCGCAATTTCAGATACGATCGGAATGTCATGCTGCTGCCGCGAAAGTCCCGCAGCGACAGCACAATCGAAGGACGTGGGTGTCAGCCTGATTTCAAGCGACAGTCGACACAAGCAAAGACAATTCCTTTGCGCCTGCCCCACCCCCGTTGCCAGGGCATGGATGTCACAGAATAGCAAATTGATCTTTTCCGAGGCGCATATGGGTGCCTGATCTCTGCCTCGAGAAACGAGGATTGGCGAAAAGAAAAGCAAAGCACGTGAACGGTCCTGGTTGTGGCCATTTCGTTCATGGGCGGGAACCCTCTTTGAACGTTGCCGCATCGGCTGTACCTCATCCGCTGCCGCGGGGGTTTGGTTCCTCAGGCACGGCCGAGCAAAGGCGGACGGGGAAGACGGGACGAGACACGTTTAACGCACGTCAAGGGTTGAAAGGGAATCTCGAATAAGCAGACACCCCGGGGAAGCGGGAATGAGGCGTGGCCTGGGCGCACAGATGTTTCCGCATGCGGTCATCGTCCTTCTTAGCCCACTCGGCCCGTCGAGTGGGCCAATGCCGCCCTCCCGTCACACCAGGCGCAGCTCAATGGGGCCTTGCGGTGAAGGGGGTAAAATGACATCTCGTGCTTCACATGTTGGTGTTTGTTCACCCAATTCACGGTATGTGTGACTCTTCGTCGCTGTCGTATATATACTGACTACAGGAAAGCCACGACCATGTCCCTAGATTTCCCACTAGTATTGCGCAACGGCCGGCTTTTTGAACCCATTGCTAGCACCATCCCCCGCTTCCTCGACATGCTCAGCAAAGCACATAGTCCGCCCGTACAGACAAATTCGTTTCATCTATCATGCCTAGATCAGAACATCGTGCGCGTATACATACAGACCCTGTGTATTTTCCCCGTATGTCATCCTAGAACATGTGCAGTATTGACAGAAGTTGACGTTGTGCGCAGTTTCCTGATCTGAATGACGCCGAAACGGCCATACAAGCTCTCGGTGTCGGGCTTCGTCTCACACTCAACAAGTTTCGCTTTCTTGCTGGTACACTCACACTTGCGGACCGAAAGGCTGGGAAACTCGCTCTCAACTATCCGACTGAGATCACAAGCGAGCAACTGAATAGAGTGTTCCGATCAAAGCAAATTCCATACCATGAGACAGACTTCCCACACACCTACGAACAGCTCAAAAGACATGGCATGCCACCAAGTGCACTTCGAAGTGCTATGTTTGTTCCGGAAGATCTGGGAAACTATGCTGGCATTCCACGAGATGGCGAAGGGAAAGTAGACTTCGATAAGAGCGACGCACCCGCGATGCGGACTCAGGCGTTCTTCATACCCGGCGGCCTCGTACTTTCCATGTACATGCATCATAGTGTTGTCGATTTCTCCGGCGTTACCCTCTTCTGGCAGACTTTCTCCGAGAATGTTTCCAAGATCTCAAAGCAGCAACTCTTCGAAGAGCACAAGATCATGGGTATTACTCCTCACTACAATACCTAGCTATAACTGACCGTGACAGATATGGGAAGCGTCGCCGAGAGACACTCCCTAATGCGGAAAGCCGTTGACGAGCAAATCACGCCACAGCGAGGTGAGGGCAGTGCAGATTGCTATTGCGATGGTCCGCCTCAGTATTTGAAAACTCTACCCAAAGAGACAAAATGTACTCAAAGGCTCTTCGTCATTCCAGCATCACGGGTGCGCGAGTACAGGGAGGTTCTGCGCGCCTACTTTCCCGAGGATACCCCTCCGACTATGTGCAATGTCCTCGCAGCCCTGGTCTGGACGCATGTTACCCGCGCTAGAGCAGGTCGCCTGATCAAGTGCGGGTTGACAGAGACCAGTGTCGGTATCGCAACGGACTTACGAAGAAGACAACATCCTCCCGTTACTACAGACTACATGGGAAACATGGCGTTGTTCTCACGGGGCACGATGAACGTCTCCGATCTCACATCAGAGGACCGGTAAGTCTACTCCCTACTACTCCATCCTCGTTGGTCGCACCTTGTGGCGCCTTAAACCTTGTAGTTCAAATGTTGAGCGACGCAATTAAGTTTGAGAAAGCCAGCTGACACATACCGGCAGTGTAACCAAGTCCACAATCGTCAACGTCATAAACATCATCAAGAGCACGATCCTCGATGTCGACGACGAATGGGTGAGCCGTCACCTAACATTCTTCAAGTCGATCGAACATATTACAGACACCGAGGTCGCGCTGGCCTTGACCTTTGGATCGGACATTTACATCTCCTCCTGGCTAAACTTCGGCGCTGATCTTCACTGGGGCATACCCGGTACAGATCTAGGCAAGGACTCCCTTGCTGGTCGACCTGAGTTCATCAGGCGATCTTATGGACCGGGTGATGGTGGAATGATCTTCCTCCCGCGCCGTAGACAAATTGCGAACGAAAAGGAAGCGCCCTTTGAGATCCTCGTACGACTCGCCGACGAAGACATGACGCGTGTGTTGAACGAAGAGGGCGGGCTAAGCTGTTGGGCCGACGCCGTGATTGAGTAAAGGATTTCTTTCATTCTTCTCCCACTGGCATTTTGATGCCTACTCTTGGAAGAGGCTAATTTGGTGCTCCGGTACACCAATTCGTTGATGACACTTACGGTATTGCGTTTCGGTATTTTCGATATGATGGTATTGGGCATAGCTATTGGTGTTATTTTTGATTTACGACCTGGGTCGCGCATTCGATATCCTGTACAATTAGCATGCATTGGGTGGTTTTGGGTTTTTGTATTGCTCGGTTGGGATTTTACAGGCGATTGTTTTTACTCTGCTTGCGCTTCTCCGTTCAGGCGCGTGGCACCATGACCGCGTCAATCATCATGTTACACATCATGTTTCTCGTCCCGAACAGCCTCAATACAGTGGCTCGTGGAGTCGTGGACAACACCAAACCCCGCCGACATGACCCCGCATCTCGGATCCATATGGCGTCGCCCCGCAACGTTGCGTGCATCAAGTCCCCGCCCCAACTTCTGCGGGCTTTTGCCCACCACACACCACCCGCGCATACCGAGGCATTGATGCAGCTTACATCTCCGCCTTATTACCGATGAATAGAGGCTCACGATGTGAGCTCTTCCAACGTGCTCGACAGCAAACATTGTCGCTGTGAGCAGTACTCGTCCACCTCGCTTCGGACGGCCTGCAAGTGATTCTGTTGGTCAACCCAAGTCCACGACTGTCGACCAATCACGACATGGCAGACTTCACCGATCATCTCAAGCCTGCACACGATGGCACAGCAACACTCCAGGCCGAACGCGACGGCTCGGACATCGACGTCCACCAACTCGCACAGCACCTCCTAAGCCGTGATGGCTTCCTGGAGCGGCAAGAAAAGGTGCTCCGAGTTTTAAGCAAGGAGAAGCTTTTCAATAAAGAAAAGCAGCTGAATTTGTCGCGCCCAGAGCGGTATCATCTAGGCCTAGCAAGAGCGAAGGCCATTCAGAGATTGATGAGACGAGAAGGCTGGGACCATGAAGACTACAAGATGGCCGAATACCTAACCGACGAGATGAGCCCATATCATCTGCATATGAGCATGTTTGGTGAGTCGACGGAAACTTGCAGCTGAGAGAGATGTCGTGCATAATGGTACCACCGGGGCGCTGGGAGCTGACATGTACTACCTCGCAGTTACAACGATACGCGAGCAAGCATCGGAAGGGCAGCAAAAGTATTGGATGCCGAAGATCCTCAACCACGACATTATCGGCTGCTATGCGCAAACGGAACTAGGCCATGGCAGTAACGTACGAGGCCTGGAGACTGTCGCGAAGTGGGACCCGATCGAAAAGGAGTTCGAAATCCACAGTCCAACTTTGACGGCGAGCAAATGGTGGAATGGGTCAATGGGAAGGACTGCCACGCACGCAGTACGTATTCAGCCCCTCCCTGTGCGACCATTCCAGAACCTTGTATCTGCCTTGTGCGTTCGCTAATCCACACCTTGTATAGATTGTAGTCGCACAACTACTGTTGCCAAAACCGTCCTCTCAACCCGATAGATCAGAAGTTTCCGATCAGCATGCTCATGAAATTGAGTACGTTTCTCACGGTCCGCAAACTTTCGTCCTGCAGATTCGGCACGCGAAGACCCATCAACCTTTGCCAGGCATTGCCGTAGGCGACATCGGTCCGAAATACGGATATGCAAGTATGGATAATGGGTACATGCTGTTCGACCACTTCCGCGTACCCAAGTCGGCTATGCTGAGTCGCTATACTGAAGTCTCTGACGAGACAGGTGCATTCGTTCGGACTGGTCATCCGGCCGTCGTATATGGGAGTCTGACGTTCGTACGCGGGCAGATAATAATGCATGCAAGGCTGGTTCTTGCACGTGCTGTTACTGTCGCCGTACGATACTGTGCTTTACGACGCCAATTCAAAGACCGGGACTCTACAAGCGCTTCAGATAGTGAGATGAAAGTTCTCGACTACCCTACCGTGCAAATACGTATCTTGCCGTTGCTCGCGACTACTTTCGCGCTGCATTATACAGGCGAGTACATGTATATGTTGTACCACAGGTCGCGAGAGAATATCGAAAAAGGCGATTTTGGACCCTTGGCGGAATTGCATAGCGCAAGCTCGGGGCTCAAGAGTCTGTGTACGATGCTCGCTGCGGACGGCATCGAGACTTGTCGACGCGCGATGGGCGGCCATGGCTTCGGTGGTGGAAGCGGATTAGTAGGACTGAATGCTGACTATCTCTCCAAGCCAACGGTAGAGGGTGATAACTGGATGATCACGCAACAAGTTGCCGCATATCTCATCAAGAAGATGGCAGATGCTGTTAAAGACCCGGGCTCAACGCCTAAAGATCCGACGGACAGACTCTTCCAATACTACCTCTTGAACAAGGACCATCGAATGCCCCAAAACGTCTTGAAAGAAGGCGTAGTAGACGACCGCAATATAGTGGAGGTGTTCCAATGGCGCGCGGCCGATCTCTCTTATCGTGCCTACCAAGCACGCGCCGTCGAGAAGCAGCCTTGGACACGCCTGATGATCCAACTCCACAATCTCAGCCGCGCATACTCGGAGCAGATCCTCGTCACGAACTTCTACAACAGCTTCAGCTCCGTCAGTCCACCTACATCATCAATATTACGGACATGCTTCCAGCTCTATGCGCTTTATACCGTCGATCAGTTCGCTTCCTCGTTTACGATGACGGCCGCCGTTCCGCAAGAGTCCTTGTATACTTTACAAGATATAATCTTAGATCTCATGGCTGAGTTGAGACCGCATGCTGTGAAGCTTGTGGATGCATGGTCGATACCGGATTGGTTGCTCAACAGTGCATTGGGTAGGTATGACGGTAAAGTGTATGAGGAGCTATTCGATATGGCGCATCGGAGAAATCCGCTTAATGAGGTGACATTCAATCCGGACTGGCGTAGTGATGAGATTGTTCTGGGAAGTGGAGACGGAGGTACGCATGTTTTGGCGAAGCTTTAATACAAACACACACTAGTTGTTGAAGTACGTGCATGAGGAGCCGGTGTGATGACATATGTACATCTCGGCCCGAGTCATTGCCTGCAACGTATATGAGTGATGCTGATCTTTTCGAGGCGTACCATATAGCCCTCGCTACTTGTACGGTTCGCGAGCGGAAACCTGTCAAGTGTCAATGAGGCCGAAACTGGCACTGGGGGTAACGTGAAACCGACTTGACTAATGGTAGGCGAAAACCCTTTTCCACTGCCGGCATTGGTGTGGAGAAAATCTGCCATGCTCAAGAACTGGAACGTCTTAGTAGATGTGACCTGTCAAGGAGGTCTGCGTGATAACTCCGCAATTCATAGTGTCTTCAAACTCTAAATTAGCGGAGCGGTCCAGGTCAATCTTACTAGTCGCCCGTTGAGAAGAGGGCCGATTAGCTAAGTCAATGAACGCCCAATGACGACTTGCTGTCATTGTTTCAAGACCCCGAAGTTCTGTCGCCGCTGAGAACAGCATGGCATTTTTCCCTGCTAAGCGACCGTTGAAACATTGGCATCGCGTATTTTTGACAATCGGACGTGTATCGGGAGTTATTGACCGGCGCTATGCAGAAGCTCCGGACGTGGGCGGCCTGCATCGACCCTGCAGACCAAAACTGGGGAACAAGACAAATAAGGAATCTCGCACTTCAAGAGGATCAGTTGAGTTCAGACTAAGATGTCGGCTCCTCTTCTGGGTGCGCCTCCAAACATGGATGGGATAGAACGACTCGTTTGGCGTTGCAGTACCGTCGCGGAAGGCGGTTGTTGAGCGCCAAGACATCACTAATCACTTAGTCGGCAACGATTGGAGGCCTGTCGCTTGTGACGCAGTTATGCAGACTGCGGCACATCAACCCACTATGCAGCACCGTTTTCCCGAGCACCGGGCCTGACCCCATGCCCTTCGATCTCTGCCAGACAACCTTTATGGTCCATCTTCCGCCAGTCATCGGGCGCTTCATTCCAAGCTCGTGAAAGCGTGGCCTAGGTTTCAGCCTGATCGCGCGAGATTGCGCTACGCCTTTTCTGGCTCAGGACCCTTCGGCTGACTACGCATCACATACGAGGACCGCAGAAGGAGGCATAATTGTTAGACTTGATGTTCTTTGGACCTATACAATCGAAGGACTACATCTGTCTGCGCTAGTATCTGCTTCGTAGAGATCCTACCTGAGCCTGAGCCTGAACAGCAACAATTGCGGAGCTTGCCGCTCGTCCGTCTTACCGCTTCATCGCCCACCAAAGCCTAAGCATGTCCTATCGTGGACGCCCCAGTAAGGGATGTGAGGCTTGTAGAGCCCGTAAAGTCAAGGTACGCATCCTCTTCAGTTGACTTCATGGAACAGTGTCGATACTTGGACTGCACCACCTGCATTCAGCAAACTACGACCACGAGGACGAGGCTAATACCAGATTAGTGTGATGAGTCCAGACCAGCTTGCAGTCGATGCAGCAAGGCGGGTCATACATGCAAGTATCGCGATCAAGCCGATATTCTCTTTCGCAACCAAACTGCATCTGCTGCGCAGAGAGCCGAGGAGTCATGGCGAAAGCGGTCAAAGTCAAACCAGCGCGCTGTCGCTGCCGAAAGTAGCAGTACCTACATCAAAACCCCACCAAGCGACGAGTCAACACCGCCTCATTTGGACGATCAACGTTCATCCAGCGGCAGTGTACATTCTCCCGGTGGATCTGTGGATGACCCTACTCAAGATGCATCAAGCGTCACGCTACCGACAATCGATCTAAGCCGATTGACTATTACCCCAGTGTCTAACCCAGACTACCGTAGAAGAGCATTTGAACGCTTTGTGTACGACTTTGTGCTACCCGACTCGCCGAATAGACCGGCGGACCAACCAGATGAAGCTCTTTGGACGTTCATTCCACTCTTGTACCAGGGCGCTCCAGAGGACTCGTTGATCGCAACAGCCGTTGACGCAGTTTCTTACGTTAATTTTGCTAACCGATGTAATGATCCTCAGGCGCAGGCATTAGGTGAGGAGTGCGTAGGAAGGGCAATTCCGATGTTGACAAAGACGATCGCGGACAAGAAGCAGTCAGCCACGAATGTAGCACTGTGCTCGGTACATTTGATGGGGGTTTACGAGGTACGTTGCTGAGGGATCTGTGGTATGTAGAAGCTCTAACGCGACGCACAGAATCTTACTAGCGTGCAACGGAAAGGCACATTCATTGCCCACAACCACGGCGCAAACGCCCTACTTCAACTGCGGACTGTTGATCAGTTTTATAGCGATCCCATATCAGCCAGACTTTACGAAGTCATATATTCGCATCTGGTAATTACAACCAAAGATGAACAGCTTCTGCCCGCCTGAAGCTAACCTCTCTCACAACAGTTACTAGGTAATCTACAGACAGCAAAGCGCCCTGCAATACCGACAAGAGACGTGGTCAAGGTAGATGAGTACCTTCCAAGCCTGTACAAGAACACTAACGCCTTTGTCATTCGTCTGATCTGGAGAGAGGCAATGCTGCATGCTCGATGGCACGAAGTCAAGCAAAGCGCAAATCCACCGACTAGCCGCCTTGCCTTGCAGGAGCTGCTGCAGACAGCGCTTGAACTAGATCATGACTATCAAGCCTGGGAATCACAGACTACACCAGCTTGGGACTATCACATGACACCCAACACACCAGAGGCTCGGTCGGCTTACGATTCGAAATGGCAAAAGCTCTTCTTAGGCTGTCGGGGCGCACCGGAAGAGATTCATTCATACCCCAGCGTAAAACGCTCCTGGATCTGGGGCTTTTATCGCACCAGCCGTGTGCTTGTTCTACGCGATCTGCTCGAAATGTTGAACTGGATGTTCAGGTTTCGAGACCCTGGTCTTTCCTATGTGCCTCAAGCAGTACAAGGGCAGACTATACCTACAGCTTTGAGCGACAGGAACCTCCGCGTGCGTCACTCAGTTGCTACCGCTCGTTTGGTCGAGGTAATCGAAAAAAACTGTTCAGCCATGCTCGGTAGCTTCACCGTGCCAATACACATGAAGTCTGTCGATGACGTCGTGGGTATGAGAGGATATGTTGACATATGGCCGCTGGGCACAATGGATGCTGTGCTCTGTTCAGGTCTCGTACCGGATAGCAATTCAGGCAATAATTCATACGACGCTAGCCGTCTGCCAACTCCACCGCCGGCTTACTCGCATCCTTCCAGCATGCCACCACATCTAGCTACGGCCGTTTCCAACGCATCCTCATCAAGCGAGCCCTCGGAGAACTTGGAATCATATGCAACAGCGCCACAATTCTCCGAACTTCACAACATCCGCTCGAGATCGGAAAGCGGCCTTAACTCCAGTCCAAGCCCACCAGCGAACATCCCATTATTCGATCCAAACGCAAAGAAGGATCACATTTTCGACCCCAGTCCCGCGCATCCTTACGACCGTCCCTTAGAGCTTCCTCCGCTGGATGTTGAGACGGTTGAGCCTAGGAGGATAGACGTTGCGGCGAGACGTGAGTGGATCAATCGTTTGCTGTACTACTTCGCAACAGAACTGGGTCTGAAGAAGGCGCTGTGGGTACCGGTGATGCAAGGCTTCATGCCCACAGTGAAGCCAATGGTTGACGATATTCTCAGCCAAGAAAGACGTTCTTAACACGTCCAACAGCGCATGTTTTCTTTACGGTGCTCAAGCAACAAGGGCATCACATAGGCGTTCTGCGATCTTGTTTCTTGCATCTGCGAGTGGAAATTCCACAATTTAAATGTATGACTTGGGAACATATGATTCGCGCATGTACATTCGGGATCTGGAATTCGGTTGGATCATATAAGGAAATTGTATCTACGCATTTTGGATCATGAGGGCATGGTTAAGCATTCGGAGGCATTGTACGAGTTGGGTGAGATAGTTCGAATCGATAAGAAATGGATACACATAGTCTTAAATCAGAAGTGCTTCCTTCTCACATTACCCCGTCCACTCACCTCACTCGAATGGCGTTGGCGCCAAGCCACAATCACCGTTTGCACTGATGCGGACCTTCGACTAGCGTTGAGGCCGACATCGACTGACAACTCCAGCCGAGCCTTGATTTCTGCCTTGCTATAGTAACCAAACATTGGATCTTGGAACAGCGATCGCGCTTCCCAGGTACTCATGGTGCTTCGCCTATCTGACCTTGGTTCCATGAAGCCTCGCGTCTTACCTCAAGAGCAAAAAGACGACCGCGACGACGACATCCGCTGCGTTGACGACATCTTTCACATCAACTGCGAGAAACCAGGTCACTGCCAAGACCATCTTCGTGAGGTACACGATACAAAACAGATGTGGGGTTATCAATCGATAGCTGCAGACTAGGACACTAACGGCCTACCAGCACACAGAAGAACCAGACCGACTCACCGTTCCTGCTCCTACCAGCTGAGATACGCAACAATATCTACCCAATCGTCTTCACCGGAGCTGTCATCGCCATAAACAAACCCCAAATCAGAAAAGAGAATGTTCTCACCGACTACCCCAGCGTACGCGCATTGCTTTACACGTGCTCTCAAGTGTATTGGGAAGCCAGCTATTTCCTGTACAAGCTCTGTATCTTCGTCCCTAGCTTCTTCGCTCTTCGCTTCCCTTCGTCTTCGAATTTGTGGCCCTCGGGGTTTGGAAATATTCGAGTTTTGAGACTCACAAAGGCCAATGGAAAGGCCATTGCGGAAGGGAAGATCAAGAAGGAGGATTTGCGGTACGAGTACTCGTCATTGCGACGCTTACACGTCCAGGTCTGGTACAAGAATGCAAAAATGCATGCTCCTCGTATGGCAGAGGCACTTCGTGCAACATTCGGCGTCCTGCATCATCTGCATATTACGTTTGAGGGATGAGAAGAAGGAGAAGGAGAAGCCACAGTCGACAGGGACTGAAGAGATAGATGACTGCTCAAGGTTATCCTCGACGTACAGAGCTCCTTATGAGAAGTTGGTTGTAACATAGCTAGTAGTCGGATAGCTCAATGTCACAATGACAAGATTCCAGAGTTGCAGCGCACAAAGTCGCGTCGGCGTTAGTCTACACGCTAGCCTAATCCCCGACTCCACAACCTTGCTTACATAACGCACGAGCCCCATTCCCGAATCCTCACCAAAGACTCTCCAGACCATCCCCATCCCCCCATCCGCATTCGCATTAGCGCTCCGAACAACTGAGTGCTCCGAGACCGATCCAATTCCATCGACCTCTTGTAGTTGGGAGGTGAACAAGTACCGAAATCAATACACTGTAGAAAGAGCTGGGAAAACAGAAGCCACAAAATGGATATCCGCGTACTACGGCCGTCGGACATTCCGCATGTTCAACTTGCCAACATTACGAATCTGCCCGAGAACTACTTTTGCAAGTATTACCTGTATCATGCTATGAGTTGGCCGCAGTTGAGCTATGTTGCTGTTGATGTAAGTTTAAAATTAAAGCTAGGAAATGCTTGCCCCTCCATATGAAGATTGGAAAGCAATAAAAACGAGAACAAGAGCTGGGGGTGCAATATGACGAGGGAGGAGAGTCTGACATTCAGAAAGATGAGAATTGTCGTGATTGATCTAGAAAGCCAAAAGAGCAATACGACAGACGCGCGTTGTAGTGTCAACACGTGATGAATTACTTGGTTCATCATTCCGAAACCTGACAACACATGCTACAAGATGGAACCCACTGACCTTTTCGTCAGGTTTCGCGCCCTCCCAAGACACCCTACGATCCCCCCAAGATTGTCGGGTATGTACTTGCCAAAATGGAAGAAGAGCCTACCGACGGCGTCCAACATGGCCACATCACCTCCCTCTCGGTAATGCGCACGCACCGCCGTCTCGGCTTGGCCGAGAAGCTAATGAGGCAATCCCGTAAGTCGCAACTCCAATGTTTCCAACATATGATGATGAAAAGAACATGTGTTGCTAGCATCCCCCCAAACAAGGCATCAGCCACAAGTAACTTTGATTAACACAAACCACACCCAGAACGCGCCATGGCTGAAACCTTCAACGCACATTACGTCTCCCTGCACGTCCGCGTCTCCAACAACGCAGCCCTGCATCTCTACCGCGAAACCCTTGGCTTCACTGTCGACAAGATAGAGGCCAAGTACTATGCCGACGGCGAAGATGCGTATAGCATGAGGATCGAGCTAGCAGACCTCAAGGAGCAGTTGAGGGACGAAGAGGAAGAGATTTTCGGAAGTGAGGGTGTGGACGAGGGTGATGCCGTGGGCAGTGAGGGCCAGGATGGGAACAAGGAGAAGGCTAAGAAGCAGAAGGTCAAGGTGGGTAGGAATAAGGGGGTTATGGATCTAGTGGAGAAGAATGAGGCGGCTGCTGCTTAGAAGGTGCGTGTTGCTGAAGTCTATTAACAACTTCTTCGAGTGGAGATGACGCGAAAGGAGTATGAATGTCTGGATTTGAGCTATGAATAGAAGTGTGATTGGGTTATGCAGGACCATGTTTGTGTTGGCATTAGTTTAGTTTAAACGCCCTATCCATCGTGCGTACAAGGGCAGACACGCTTGCCAGCGGATGCCCGCCCTTCTCATGCTATGCTACGCTATAATCTACAACTCAACTCCATCCTTATGCGAGAAAGAAAAACGCCCATGCGTGTACCATCAGTGGATATCATAAAAAGCCAGATCATTATCCCATCATGTCAAATCATCACCTTCCGGTTCCTTCTCATATCGCAATCAATCCACCTGACCTCCATTTACATCAATCCCCCCAGAACAACCTTACCCACACCTCCCACCTCACTCTTCAGCCCCGCCCGGCAACTATCCTCAAACTCCCTTACAACGCCTGCAAGGATAATCTTCCTCACCCTCGCATCCGCCTTGTTAAACAAATCACCCACAAGATTGGGCACACCACCCCCCGCGCTCGCCACACTCTCAGGCGTACTAAGCATGCTCAGAATCTTGGTGTAGCAATCAATCAACACATCGCACAGCGTCGCAAAGGTGCTGAAGAAATCGGGGTCAAAGGGTAAGCTAGGTGTTTGAAGGTGCGTATAAGATTCGTTGGGGAGAAGAAGATCATCGGTAGGCGGAGAATCGAAACCCGATGTTTCGGAGCCGGTGAAACTGTTGCTAGGAGTGAGAACGGGGAAGTCGCCGTTTGCGGAGCTGCTTCGTCGGCCTTTGCTGCCCATGCTCATTCCCATACCCATGCCCATGTTTGCGCGCTTGAACATTTGGGGGAGGCGGGCGCGACTAAGGGACGATGGGGTGGAGCCATCGGCTGGGTGTATGGATTGGTATTGTTCGAATTCTAGGAGGAGGGCATTGAGGGCTTTGAGGTAGTCCGAGGGGGAGTTTGCGTTTAGGTCGAGGATGGTGGGGAGGGAGAAGCCGAGGAGGAGGTAATGGGTTGCGCGGCGGGCTTGGTTGCGGGTTGTGAAGGAGGGGAGGCGGGTGAGGTCGGTTTTGGAGAAGAGGAGCGTGTTGAACCAGTAGATTCGGCCTTCGTGACTGGGGGGATGCTGTTAGATGTAGAAAATAGCAAGAGGGGGGATGGGGCATACGCTTTTCGTAGGTAGTCGAGGGTGGATATTCGTTTCGAGGCAAGCTCGTGGATGTGCTGGAATATGATGTTGGGGTTGGAGCCATTGGGGACGGGGATGGGGGCTGCTGGAGCCAAGGTGCGATTTGACTGCTGGTTTGCCTGGAGAATCTCCTTCTGGGAGGGCGGATGCCGCAGTGGAATAGGGACGGCCATGTTGCCAAAAGGTGTCTTGGGCTTGTCGACAGCACTGAGGGGGCTCTTCTCGTAGACGTGGGCCTGTCCTCCGCTGTCTGCCTTTACGTTGTCGCTGCTCTTTGGCTTGCTGCGTGAGAAGGTGGAGATGGAGAGGGCGGGCCGCGAGGCATTGGACAGCGTGTTGGGGACGGGAGCCTTGTCGGGGGAGTAGGTGAGCGCCAGGGTGGCCGAGGGGGTCCTCTTATGCGAGGACGACGTCTTGGCCGTGCCGTCGGAAGTGTTTGTTCGAAGCGAGGCGGACCGTGACCTCCGCAGCTGGGAGCCGAGATCCGTCACCGACGATGCGATGCTATGCCTGCTGCTGGTCTGTCTGCGTCTCTGTGGCGTCGTAGGCACTCTGGGGGAATTGGTATTGGTCGGCTTGGAGAGGGGGTGTCTTTAGCTCCTCCGTATTGGCCGCGGGCGTTATATTGAGCGTGGGCGGGGACAGCGTCGACGGTGTTTGCTTATGTCCCTTGGTCTTTCCACCGAAAAACGAGGGGCGGCGGGAGAAGATGCCCTGAGCGCTGGATGCTGTGGATGGGTAGTCGGCCATGGTGGCTGCTTCCCAAGGGTGTGGGGCTACCGAGCGATCAGGGGCTGTTTCACCACGACGGACCCTGAGAGACTATACCGCCGCTTGGGATAACACATCCATGGTCTTTGCTGTGTACGTGGAAAAAAGGAGAAGGCGATGTCGCGACGCGCAGAGATCGGGCCTGGACGACACTATAAGACGTCGCGATACTGGCGCAAAGCAAAAACGTGTTTGGATTCGCGGCTACAGCTGATGCCGTGAGAACCTATCCCGACGCAGGAACAAGCCGCCCGAGACGGATCCCTGTCCACACGGCATCCACTCCCTTGTAGCCATAGCTTCACCCGTCCCCAGGCACCTCGGGGCCTTGGAGCCACGTGCGATGATGAAGACGTTAGGCTGAATACAGCACTGGCAGGCGCTGCTTAACCGCGCTTCCAAGCCTCGCCAGTCCCACGGTCCAGACACGACTCCGCTCGACTCTCTCCATACACCGCTCAACACTGCGATCAAGCCACTGTGGTTGCCCAAAGCCCCGCCAGCTGCCCCCACGTCACCATGCAGCGCAGACAGAGCGCACGAGTAGGCGCCCTTCACCCACGCCAAAGGCCCATGCAAGCCACTGACGAAACATAGGGAGAGTGGATTCCCACCGAGGGACAGTGGCCCGTGGACCCTCAAGAAGACGTTGAAGTTTCCGAGCAGCGCATATGGGTCGATGGATGTTTCGACTTTGCCCACCACGGTATGCCGACTCCCGCATTCGGCACATGTAGCGCTTACAGGTGAACAGGCCATGCGGGCGCCATGCTGCAGGCGCGGCAGCTGGGCAACGAACTGTTCGTTGGTGTGCATTCGGATGAGGCCATCATGGAAAACAAGGGTCCGACGGTGATGCGCCTGGACGAGCGGTGCGCAAACCTGCAGCTTGAAATGCGCCTTGTCCACAGCTAACAACAACAACAACAGCGTTGCCGCCGTCGAAGCCTGCCGATGGGCTACCAAAGCCGTCCCGAGAGCGCCCTACGTAACTTCTCTACCCTGGATCACCCACTACGGTTGCCAGTACGTGGTACACGGCGACGACATCACGTCCGACAGCGACGGAAAGGACTGCTACCGCTACGTCAAAGCAGCTGGAAGATTCAAGGTGGTTAAGCGCACACCCGGCATCTCGACGACCGACCTCGTAGGCCGCATGCTGCTCTGCACCAAATCGCACTTCATACCCTCGCTGGAGAAAAGACTGTCGGGAGACGAGGGCCCGGGCGATGAGAAAGAACGGCTAAAGACGGGAGAAGAGATGCTCCAGCGCATCAAGGACTATGCCACGGATGCCTCAGGCCGCGCACCCGGCTGCGATGTGTGGTACTGGCATGCTTCCCGACCCGTCAAGTTACGGAGAACAACCACCAGCAACACGGTCGCCTCACCCACTTCGCCAACTGCGCCACGACCTGGTACCCTCCGTCAAGCCTCCACCGCCTCGGCCTTGGGGCCTGTGAAAGAGGAAAAGGGCAAGTTTCACCAGCTGGTACAAGGTAAGGGCGTAAAGCCTGGTCAAAAAGTCGTCTACGTTGACGGTGGCTGGGATCTGTTCTCCTCCGGCCACATCGAGTTCCTCCGCCTAGTCACGCGATCAGAAGAGGAAGACGCCAAGGAGCGAGGATGGTACACCGACGAGGCAAAGAAGGAGCGCATAGAAAAGGCCGGCGAGGACTACGGTCCCGTCTTCTTGATTGCAGGTATCCACGACGACGAAGTGATCAATCACTGGAAGGGAATCAACTACCCCATCATGAACATCTTCGAGCGCGGTCTCTGCGTCCTGCAATGCAAAGTATGTATCCCCACTGTCTCTCACCTTTATACAAAAGACTAGTATATTAACCCCGTACTAGTACGTCCACGCCGCCATCTTCGGCGCCCCCTTCTCCCTCAGCAAAGCCTTTCTCCACACGCTCCCTTACTCCCAGCCCCTCACCGTCTATCACGGCAAAACCACATTCATGCCTCTTGCCTTCGACCCTTACGCCGTCCCCAAGACCCTCAACATCTACCGTGAAATCGCTAACCACGAGTTCCAAAACGTTAATGCAGCCGAGATTGTGGCAAGGATTATGAAGGGGCGCGCCTTGTATGAGGAGAGGCAGCGGAAGAAGGGCGAGAAGGGTATGACGGAGGAGGTGGAGAAGATTAGGCAGGAGATGGAGAGGGAACAGAAGAGGAGGGAGGTTGAGAGTCAGTTTGGCCTTTAGATGAGGTTGTAGTCCAAGTTAGACAGGAAGTTGGGGGGTTTAATACAGGCAGGGCTATGCTATTCCTAGCTTGACAAAGAGGTGGTGGAGATTGTAGTTGCTGAGGTTGCCGTTATATACCAATCTTCAACAGATGTTCATATCCGGATCCAACTGTGATGAGATTGCGGTCATCATGTTTGCAACTCCACCGTGACCAGAAAGGGCCTTGCGTGTGATTGAAGGCTAGAGTGGCGACTTTGTATACTGATGTCGAGGCTTCGTGTCGGATTTGTTTGCGGTAAGGGAAACTCGACCAACTCGACTTCGCTACGTAAACCCCCTCCAAGCGCTTCCGTCTTTCTCAATAATCACTATTTACACATGCTCTTCGATTTGTTCACCATAGGTTCAAAAGAAATTGGTTATAGCCATTCAATCATGCTGACAAAAACACAAAAAACATACAACAGCGGGGATTCGCTAGTGGTCACCCACCTAACTACTAATCCGCCGGTACACTGCTTGTATATGGCTGAGCGGACGGGAAGCCTAGCTTTCACTCATGCGACTGTCACAAAGTTCCTTAATTTTCCTGTATGCAGTAAGCCTCTTTCCTGTATGCAATAACCCCCTTTTCTGTATGTGGACTATTAGCACACATTCCTGTATTGGTGGCTTGCTCCGCCATGCACTAGCGCGTAAGCGTTGCTGATAAAGCAGCGATCCAGCGCTTAAGTTTTCTTCTAGATTGACGCCACGAACACGGGGCACTCAGCCTATCGTCTTCTAGCTTTTGCGTTCGAGCCAGTAACTTTAATCAGGTACTTTGTTTAGATATTCAGTGACGGTAAGTTAGTTTGCCAGGCTGCTCGTGTCAAGAGCGCGCGTAAACCATCCTTGAAAGGGATGTAATGGTACTAACTAAACGGCATTGAGACACAGATAGTACAGCTGCTCTTGAACAAGACGTAGCCCCTGCAACTACAGTCTGCGAGAAAAAGGACGCATCAAGAAGGCACATTGCAAGTCCAGCATAGATGCAGTGAGTCCGTGAGGTACTGTAGAGAGGATAATCCACCCGCATGGTCTGTGAAGATAGGGGCTAGGCTGCAGATGAGAGGCTGATGTCGCAGGGCATTCTCTGGACAAAGATCTTGTCATGTTACGATGCAACTCAGTATATATACCTAGTATAGATTCTACATCACTCTCTTAAATTTACAAGTGCTCAGCAGACGAAGCGTTCAGATCAGATACGGCCTCAAAATTGTTAGTGTTGCTGTAGCAGCGAGTGGGTAGTTATACTAAGTTACTCCTTCTCAGGTACTTCATTCGCGACACCCTGCCTATCACGAGATCCGCCTACGATGAATGTGCCAGTCAAAAGGGACGCGTTCAGCAGTGCATTCCTGCTGAGCTTAGCTCGAGTTCTAACGTCCATCCCCGCGTAACGGGACGCTTTGGCTAGCAGTAGGTGCGTCGAAAGTTCATGCATCTTGTCGAAAGTCCGTCAGTTTACAACTTGCTATATTATTGTCCTATCCTAGGCACTGCGCCTAAGCTCGAGAGGTTGTTGTGCTTCTGTGCTAATTCCAAGTCCGACTGCTAGAAGTGCTAGATGAGGATAACCCGCACACCTAGCTTTAAATAGCTTAGCTGTAATCTATCGCTGCTGACGCTAGATCTGTGGCTGTGCGGCTGTGGCTGTACGGCGCTTTTGCCAAGCGCTCCAGGATATCCGAAAACCGGCTCAGATTAGGAGCAGGGCTAATTTAGGTTTGAAGGCCCTGGCGTATAGCTCGTGTCAATGAACACACCCAGCATGGAGACCGCGATCAGCTTCCGATACAGCCATTGTGCAGCTTCGAGGTGCAGTGTAATGCACGACCATAGCTAACGCGAAAGCTTGCATGTCATAGGGATAAACCATCGCGCTGCTCTAAAGCTCCGCAGACCCGCCGTTGATCCCGCGCCCGACCTACCACCTCCTCATGCTCTCGAGCACATCGCGACCGATACGTATATCAAGCAATAGCTGCATGTCGCTTCAGCTCGTTGAAAAGGAATACAAGGAGTTAGGAGGCGCCTGTAGGATAGGGTGGGCCGGTCTCACACAGTGGGCATGGCAGGGGACACAGACTGGCATGGTACAGAGTATCAAGGTCCCAGTGTACGCTTCGGTAAGCGGAGTGCGTGCCAATAGAAGAATGCTGTCGTTGCACGCACGTACAAAGGTGGAAAGGCTCTGCATATCTTGGGGATACAGCTGTGGTACGGTCATACAACGGATGGCTCCTTGCAAGAGCACTGCAATCATTAGGGTGGTGGAGAGGCGCTTCAGTTTGATCTTTGGGGGTGATGAGGAGCTTGGGCCCTCGATGCTCGTGAGCGCTTGGTAGGGATGTTAGAGCAGAGATCTGGCAGTACCCACACATGGTAAGGTACAACGCTATCTAAAGCTGCATGCCGTCCTGTTACCGATGATGACCCTTAACTTATGTCTCTTCGCAATGCCATCCAGTGCGGACGTTCATGGCAAGGGTGTGGCAGGTGCCGGTTGGCCATCTACTTAGCTTGTGGCGGCAAATTTGCCGCACGTTGCTTTCATTACAGCGTCATAAGCATTGCCGTCAGCGTTGTGTTTATTAGACTACTATTACCGCCAAGACATAGGCATCAGAATGTAGCTATCTTCTTTCAAGGACACCAATCAGCCAGCCATGCATGCATTTCCCTCATGATGACTTGGCACCCCATGCCACCAGCAGCTTCACCACCGCCTCGTGGCCTCCATCTGAAGCCGCCTGGAGTGCGTTGCTGAGGTCTCCATCCTGCGCGTTGACGTCGGCGCCCTTGTTGAGCAGCATCTTCACCACCGCCTCGTGGCCTCCAGACGAAGCCGCGTAGAGTGCGTTGCCGTATTCTCCACTCTGCGCGTTGATCTCAGCGCCCTTGTCGAGTAGCTGCCTCACCACCGCCTCGTGGCCTCTGTATGAAGCCGCCTGGAGTGCGTTGCCGAAGTATCCACCCTGCGCGTTGACGTCGGCGCCCTTGTCGAGCAGCATCTTCACCACCGCCTCGTGGCCTCTGTACGAAGCCGCCTGGAGTGCGTTGCCGAAGTATCCACCCTGCGCGTTGACGTCGGCGCCCTTGTCGAGTAGCTGCCTCACCACCGCCTCGTGGCCTCCAGATGAAGCCGCCTGGAGTGTGTTGCTATGGACTCCACTCTGCACGTTGACGTCGGCGCCCTTGTCGAGCAGCATCTTGACCACCGCCTCGTGGCCTTCAGACGAAGCCGCCTGAGTGTGTTGCCGAAGTATCCACCCTGCGCGTTGACGTCGGCGCCCTTGTCGAGCAGCATCTTGACCACCGCTTCGTGGCCTCTGTACGAAGCCGCCTGGAGTGCATTGCCGTAGCGTCCACCCTGCGCGTTGACATCGGCGCCCTTGTCGAGCAGCATCTTGACCACCGCCTCGTAGCCTCCATCTGAAGCCGTGTAGAGTGCGTTGCCATAGACTCCACTCTGCACGTTGACCTCGGCGCCCTTGTCGAGCAGCATCTTCACCACCGCCTCGTGGCCTTCAGACGAAGCCGCATGGAGTGCGTTGCTGAAGTCTTCACCCTGCGCGTTGACGTCGGCGCCCTTGTCGAGCAGCAGCTGCACCACCGCCTCGTGGCCTCTGTACGAAGCCTCCTGGAGTGCGTTGCTGAAGTATCCACCCTGCGCGTTGACGTCGGCGCCCTTGTCGAGCAGCATTTTCACCACCGCCTCGTGGCCTCTGTACGAAGCCGCCTGGAGTGCATTGCCGTAGTGTCTACTCTGCGCGTTGATGTCGGCGCCCTTGTCGAGCAGCATCTTGACCACCGCTTCGTGACATCTGTACGAAGCCGCCTGAAGTGTGTTGCCAAAGTGTCCACCCTGCGCGTTGACGTCAGCGCCCTTGTCGAGCAGCATCTTGACCACCGCTTCGTGGCCTTCAGACGAAGCCGCCTGAAGTGCGTTGCCGTATTCTCCACCCTGCGCGTTGACGTCGGCGCCCTTATCGAGCAGCATCTTCACCACCGCCTCGTGGCCTCTGTACGAAGCCGCCTGGAGTGCGTTGCCGTAGAGTCCACCCTGCGCGTTGACGTCGGCGCGCTTGTCAACCAGCAGCTTTACTACCTGCTTATGCTCATTTTTTGCCGCCAACAACAGCGGTGCCTCTTCATCATCATTTGTGGCCTCTATGTTGGCTTTTTCCCTCAACGACTTTTGCGCCGTCTCCTCTTGGCCATGTTGGGCAGCCCACAACAGCGCTGAGCTTCCAGATTGTTGTACATTGTAGCGGTAGAGATAGCTATCTAGGAGATCGTAAAGGCGGCGGTTGGCTTGTGCAACGGCGTTGATATCTTTCTCAGATTCTAGGTATTCTGATATATCTCGGAGCAACTCATTTGGTAGATCAAGCAGTGGCATTGCTGGAATAGCACTTGTCTGCTTTACTAAATTCAAGGTAATGATGAAAACAACCGCCTAGCAAGCACCATAAGCGGGGGTGAAGCGGGCAAAAATTCCAATTTAATAGTAGGCACGTGTTGTGAAGAAAGCCTTAAAAGAGAGAGTTGAGGACGATGGTGGGGCAAGCGGCGGCAGGGTGACTGAGCCACCAGGGTTCAGCATCACGTGGTTAAGTAAGCGCGTTCAGAAGCAGAATCGAACAACATTGAAGGTGATTTGGCTCTTGATGTCGCTATCGGTAGCAGGGAGAGTGGCCAACCCGCTACGGTTATAGGGTTGCCATGGACGTCCGCACTGTACGGCATTGTGAAGAGATATAAGGGTCGTTGTCCATGACAGGACGGCATGCAGCCTGAGATAGCTTAGTACCTTACCAAGCATAGTTACCATCAAATCTCTGCTCTACCTGACCCCGCGCTCACGGGCATCGACGATCCGAGCTCTTCATTACCCTCAGAGATTAAACTGAAGCACCTTTCTATGCTGCTAACAATTGCAGTGCTTATGCGAAGAGCCGTTCGTTTTATAACTGTACGACAGCTGTATCCTCAAGATATGCAGACCCTTCCACTTTTGTACCTGCTTGCACCGACGGCGTGTCTCCAGTAACGCTCGCTCCACTTGCTAAAGCCTAGCCCCCGATCTTGGTATGTTATATCATGCGTGTATATATCGGTTACGGTGTGCTCGAGATATACGAGGACGTGGTGGGCCGGACGAGGGATCCACGGCGGGTCTGCGGAGCTAGAGGGCGGCGCGATAGTTTATCCCTATAGTATGGGAGCTTTCGCGTTGGCTTCAGTCGTACGTTGCACACATCTTAAAGTTGCACAATAGGTATGGCAGAAGCTAGTTGTGGTTTCGATGCTGGGTGTGTCTGTTGTCGCGAGCTCAACGCTGGAGGACTTCAAACCTAGCCCTGCTCCCAATCTGAGCCGGTTTTTTGGTGTCCTGGCGCGCTCGGCAAAAGCGTTACACAGCCACATAGCCACACAGCCACGGATGCAGCGATGGATTACAGCTAAGCTGCTTTAAGCTAGGTGCGCGGGTCCTCCTCATTTGGCACTTCTAGCAGGCGGTCTTGCATTTAGCACAGACGCACGACAATCCCTCGAGCTTAAGCGTAGTGCTCGGGATGAGACAGTAATTTAACAAGCTACAAGTTGGCGGACTTTCGACAAAATGTATGAGCTTTCGACGTATCTAGTGCTACCTCAAGCGAGGCGATCGCGTGACGCTTATACAAAATTATTGTATTGCACGGTAAGAAGATCCTATTTCTGGAAGATACTACCACATACTAGACTTTACGGCCTAAGACTGCTATTCCGAGAATATTTGTTCTTCTCAGCTGTTGTTGACGTTGTTATGTTTGGAATTGTCTGCGGCGTCCCGTCACGCAGGGTGTCCCGCTGCCCAGGGACGAACGTTATTATGTGTTCTCGCCATTCTTATCAACCTTCACGCTGGTTTGATATACATCGTCAACTCGCTGTGTGGCACGATAGTAACACAAACCGGTGAACGCGACCTCAAGTTACAGGAATGGGTGAACTGTTAGTGGTGGTGGTTGCGGCGCAGTGTTGGTGAGGGTTCCGTTTCCCGAACCCGGAGTCTGTGTAGGCATCACAACGCCGCACGGCTATAGCGCAGTGCACGACTACATATGCCCTTGAGGTGGGGAGAGGGGAAGTTAGAGTACTGATACATCGACTCAATACAATGTGTACTACCCCCGATCTTGCTTCCAAGTTCTGCTTTCCAGCGTCCTAACATGCCCACGAGTTCCAGCCACTAAAACCGCAACTGCTCGAGGCTGATTTACACGACCTGTTTTCATTCATCTGGGCTCGCGATACTTACAGTTTCGATCACCCACGTTATCGTCTCCAAGTCGCTTTCAGTATCCTGTTAGTATTCCATTTGGGACTACATCCTAATGTCGGTCTCAAAGAAGGACTGTACTACAGCGATACGAGGATCTTTCTTACTCGGTTTGAAAACACCACTCGAGCAATGCTTCTTATCCGCCTGGGTAATCGGGATGAAAATGCGCGGGCGAACCGCAAGTGGGCCGGGTAATTATGGAGTCGCCTTTCGATCCTCTGGTAAAGCTAACACTTACTAAGAAAAACAATGATATTGGTTGATGAGCCTGCGAAGCGCCACATGTGCCCCGTTACTCTGTTTCTTTCGATGGCTATTGCCGATGGTGTCATTGACGGCATTGATCGCACCAGCGACATAGCATCGTTGTTTCGTGGCCACCAATACTCTGGGTGGCTGCTTTTTCCTTACAAACAGGATCTATCACATCTGCCGGTACTTCGGAGAACCGGTAATAAATCCAGAGTGATCTCATCTTGTAGTATAAAGCCATCAGTACTCTACACAATGATGCAGGCTCAGTTGGACCGAGCAGGACACGAAGAAACTTTTGCAACCATGCTTCGGGACATCAGGAATGCGACTCAGCGGGAAAAGCGGCGGAAGACTGCAGCCGGTTACGTTGACGCCGAGACGTTTTTGATTGGGCGTGGACAAGCAAAGTGCTTTTCTGTGATACTAGCCTCTGAACCGGTCACGCCCCTAGACACGACAACCTTTCGCACACCCGCGAGCCTCAAATCGCCCTATCCACTGCCGTATGTGTTAGATGTTCAACTCAAATATGACATCACACGGTCAATGATAATATCTTATCTATATGGGTCATATGCCGCATACCACGCGATTCCCGACATACTGTACCCTTTCGTTAAGGCCGCCGAATCTGTCGCATATGAGCCGTATTATGCAGATGCGCTGCCTAGTGCCTCTGGGGGCTGTCCGTGGTGTGATGCTCGGCTGAAACGGTAAGCCTTACCTGCAGACTCATTCACATGCGCATAACGATCAGGCTCATCGTATTTAGAATTCCGATGAAGGCACACTTGCTGAGGTGTTCACAAAAGAACAAGAACTATGAGATGGAGAAACAGCTTACCACAGCCCTGAAGGAGAGGCGATGGAGATGCATGTGGACCTCTTGCAGTTCTGGTAACCTTAACAATGCAGAAGCGGCGGCAAGTCACATGAGCGATCACGTTACGGCTGATGTTGTTTACTGCCAATGGGGCCCATGCAACTACAAAGCCAGCAAGTTAACTGATCTTCACGCACATCTTGTTATCGAACATGATGTCTTTACCCACATGACGATACCAACACGGGCCAGATTCTGCATCGAGTGTGGAGTCTGGATTTCTAGTGATCTCGACTGGGAAAGACATGCTGTACAGCACGCTAGAAGTCCCAACATTATTTATGGTCCTATTACTGCAGAGGGCATTGTGGCGGCGCCTCGTCGCTGTCCATTCTGCATGATGCAGGGCCGATTCGTACAGATGGAAAATGCGGGCCACTATGCCGAGCACATAGAAGATCACATCAACAGGCAGTTTGACAAGGGTTGTAGGAAATGCCCTCATTACTCGTGTACAGGACAGGACTTTAGCAAAAAGGATTTGCGAAACCATTTTAATGCAGTTCACGGCATTACACTTCTCTAGTTGAATATATTGTTGTTAGTGTACTTTATAAAGTATTATTAGGAGGGTTTAACGGCCTGCGATTGGCAGACGTTCAGTGTTCATGCGTACATTCCTTTTAAGCCTATTGTTCCCTCTGGCTGTTTAGGTTGATAATATGTAACTACCTCCTCTCAGCTCGAATAAGAAACGTATTCTTATCCTTTTCCCTCCTTTAACTCATCCCATGCTGTCCAAAGTATCTCTCTCATCTTATCGTACAGCTTCGGATTTAGAGCCCTCCACCTTCTGCCTCTAGGGAATATTGGTCTCCGCAATCTGTTAACGTAGGGGTTCAGTGGCTGGTAAACGCTGATATATTTCACGGTAAGTTAGTACGTCTAATAACAGCACTCGGGATAGCACGGCTAGAGATGACGGGCGCGCAACACGCTTGAGTGATTACTTGCTAGGAACGTCTCCATCAAACGAGGGTAGAGAGGTGCAGACTGTTAGACTTATTGGTCCTTCTGAGAAGGCTGTTAAAGCCTAAAGACGTCCGAATCACGCATGGCAGAATATGAATCCAGCATTATGCGAGGAAGCCCTAACATTATTTGATCTATGGAATTGAGCCTAGGTGTAACAATGGAAAAGCTGATATCTACAACGCGCGTACGGTGTTATTAACTATTAATATTGTTAGCTGCGAACTTTTAATCTTTTTGTATTAGGACAGGTAGGTGGTTGTATGTTGTGTAGGTGACGGATGCATAAGGCTTTAACCTTCGATACAAGACAGTTCATTGACCAAATCCTCCTATAGTTACATTCTGATTCCTAGTGTTGAACATATCAGGGCGCCTTAGCTCTATGCACTCAGCTGGGGGGCTTCGTTGCGCTTAATGTGCCCCACCCTTCCAAATGTGCCGTTGTGCTATTTAGAGAGTACCACTTCTTGTCATTCTATGGGAGAACGAATAGCGCAGTCTTCTTATTTGATCGCTTATTGGGACGATGAGTTGACGCCAAATCCGATTAATATAAAAAGGAAGGTGACACAGCAACTGTGTAGCAGTGCAGGCCTAGTACAAATTAGATCCTGTAACGAAGACAGACGGAAACTTACCATAAATATGCCTTGCCGTAGTTGTGTGGAAGTGCTTCTGCCAGCAAGTGAAAGACTAGAGACAATGATCGCGCTACACAATTGGATAGACGCTGCGGCCGCGTTGGTGAAGACGAAAGTATGCAACAACCGCACATATTCTTCGTCTCTCCGCTCAAATCCCGAGTTTTCGTGGGCCTTTACTTGCTCGCGTGAAAGTACCGCACATAGAAGCGATGCAGCAGCGAGACGAGCAAGCAGTGCCGACTCATAAGCAGGAGATATTGTTTTGTCTCTATTTGCGATTAGATAGCCTCGAATACAGATGAAATCCACCTACATAACCGCAGAAACAATGTCTAGTATAGTTAAGGTCGCCACTAGATGTACTGCCCATATAGTCCGGCCAGGAGAGATGAAGATCTGCAGCAATCGGGCGAGCTAAAATTCATGTTAGTAGACGACGAGCAATCAAGGCAGGCAGACTGTCTGACATTGTTGCTATTGAGAAGTTGGAGATTACACATAATGACTGCGTCAAGCCAGTAGTACATCTCCTCTGTCGAATGGGGTGCAGTCGCGATTGCGATGATGCCAGTGATCCCTAGGCCTGTTGAACCGATGCCGAAAACGATTCCCGTAATCCTCTCCCAACGGTAGTCGTACTCGGGGACATAATTTCTCACATCGAGGTAAGTGAGCGTGCTGCTCAGTATAGGTCCGACTGAGAAACAGATCGCAAAGCTAACTAGTAAAAAGAGTGTCATGTTGACGAGAGTTGGTGCAGTACTGAATATGGGGGGCTCCTGTCTTTTGTACATGCTCCATGTGTCTAAAAAAAGGACTTGTGGAGAGTTACATCGCCGTGTGCACATTCCTAGTGGTGGAGCCCGGGCAGAGCGAGTGACACGATGAGAGAGTGATCCTGAACAGCTGCATGCATAGCTGTTAGGATATCCACATAGTTTTGCGGTATTCAGCCTTTCTGGCCACTGGGATAGGGCTTAGAAGCAGTCGTGATGGCTGCAGATGTCTACATTATAAGGGGTGAGAACTAGATTGAGACCAGATGCACATCCACATAACCCTCATCATGGGCTCTAGCGGACACTAGTACTTGCCATCAAAGTCCGGACCATCGCCTACAGCAACCTGACTGGTCTTTGATCTCTGGCATGAGGTATCTCAGAGTTGCAGACGTGTAAAGTGATAGCCTGTAGCGGTCGAGAGCTTGGTGGGCTATACTATTGGAGAAGCTTCAGAGTTCGTCATACACGAGTATGCTTCGAGGTCTTTACTAACATGCAACATACGATGACCTGGAGCGGATCTTGTTAGTTACAAGACGCCAAAAGAATTTTAGCTCGTATGCGAACGAAGGAAAGTCTCTCTATACTTCTTCGTCATAGGATCCCACCTCACACCACTCGAAGCGTCTGCCCTTCCGCCCCCGCCCCTCTCTCTTTTTTTGTTGTCGAGGTGTGATTCTCACAAGAGCTCCTCGAGCCATGATGAGTATATCATTGTGGCGATCTAACGCGTGCGAGGTTTCACACTGCAACGCTTCCACGTCTACAACGGCAGCCGCCTTGTGTTCTAGCAGCTCCCTCGCCTTCTCGACTGAAAGCCATTCGATGCTCTAGACAATCTCTGAATCGTTTCTGTTTGCACCTGGTGCTGCCATTTCTGCGGTGTACTCAATGTAAATTTCAAGCGCTCCTGCAGTGTGGCATTGTGGTTCGTGCGCGACGACAATGCTACTGGCCTGCGTCACACCCTGAATCAATTCCGCAATGTCACATGTTGTAACCTTATGACGAGTTGTTCGAGGACTGCATCTGGCGGATAATTGCGTCGCAGGCTGGTCCGACAAGCCCATCTTGGGAAGTCCATCCTCTTCTGCGGTGACAGCACTTCTCGAGCCGAGTACGGAAGGAACGCCTTGAATGCGCTCTGAGAGGGAGACCGATTTTCGGTCCCTGGGTGATGTCGAGTGTTCCCGAAGCCTGGCTATGTCGTTGGCTGAAGAGTTTTTCGCGGATGCTTCCTCACGCTCGGTTGCTTCTGCCAAAGCTGATGTGCGCAACGTTGATGTAGGCAAGGGTAGTGTAAGCAATGTGCTCTCGTTTGGATCTGGGTAGATGGTCTTTTTCTGTCTTGAGAGTAGTATCTTCAGACTATCTTTGATCTGATCTTCTAGTGCCGAATTGAGTCTCAGATCCAAATCGTTGAAATCGGGCATCGACGGCAATCTCCATCCAGGATACAACCGCCCATGGTATCGAGGCGTGTGCATCTTCCCATGCATCAGGATAAAATCATTACACAGAAAGCATGCATCCTTGCTGGAACAAACGACTCGTGGCGGTAACCCCGAAGCATTCAGCTCATAATAGAAGACAAGTTGAATTTCGGCATGTATCTTGGCTTCCCGCAATGTTTTCCTTGTTTGAGCAGCGAACTGATCGTTCGGCTGTGGACCACTCGTGTTCAAGAGACGAAAGAGGTAGCGGACGTCTGGCCCTTGGCAAATTGTGTAGATTCTTGCGATCGTCGACGTCAGCTGTGGAGTATGGTTTTCGCCTGCAACTCGATAGAAAGCCTCTTTGGGCAGATTGATGAGTACAACCTTCGCTCGCCGCAATAAGGAAATTCTTCTGGCTGTGCGACATAGAAATCGCGCAGCCTCCCGATATCTCGACACTTTAATAACGATGTTGAAGAGGTTTCGCCTTGAACTCGGGCACATCGCTGTCGCTCATTCTGTTAGCGCTGTCTTTCGACTCCCCTCCGTCATTCCCCCGAAAAAAGCCTCCCGTTGCTTACGGTATGCGACTTTTCGGAATTGCCGTCATATAGCATACTCTTGGCTTGGAGTTCATTCCAATAAACTCACTTCCTTAACAGTCTTACTAATCTCCTTGGCTTTTGGTATGACACGCTCGGTGAGTTGAGATACGGGAGGCATTGGCGCAAGAAGATTCCTTCTCGACATCATAGAAGTGTTTTCGTCAATAAAGAAAACCTCATGCTTCCCGACCTCTACAATGTCAATCCAGCCTGATTGAAGTCCTGATTTGCCCTCGTAGATGAGAGCCGGCGGTAGTGCCTCCCCAGAAGCACATACGCAAACCAGAAGCGTTATCCATTCTTTGTTGCCATCCTGGATGGCCGCCGTAGGCTCTTTCGAAGCCCAAATTGCCTCTGTAAAGACTCTTTTTGAGCGAGTTGTAATGCCAACGAAGAAGCCCTTCTCATCCAAATTGTAAGTATTGCGCGACTCAATGTCGTACTCTCGCATCTTCGAATGCAGCAACTCAAAGTACAGCTTGCATCTTTCTTGAGGGTCAGCTTGGTGCCGGTCAGGATCGATTCTGGCGCTCTATCTAATGGTAAGCTCGTCGGCATGGCGATGAAGAAACCGAGTAATCCAGCTTTCGGAAACCTCCCACTTCGCTATTGTTCCCGCAAAATTTTATATCTTCTCTCGTGTAGGTGGCAGGCCGCGCCTTGCGCATCTTTCTATGTATAACATAAGTTCATGCTCCTATTGTGGGTTGAGTAACATCTGATCCTGGTGGTAGGTTGCATTTGGGCGCTGTTTTCCTTGTTGCCTTCGCGACAACGTCGATCGATTAACCCAATTTTTTTGCAACCTCAAGATACGAGAGAGATGCGCCGTCTTCGCGCGATTCGATACTTTCAATCGTTTTCTGAATTGGATCCATGGTGGTGGAGTTATGACGTGTTGAAGTTGAGATGGTTACGATGTTATGATGTTCGGGTGGCTTGAGTGCCGAACTGGCTCGCGTTGCGCACGGTCAGTGTCTGTTTTTCCAATTGGTGGAAGATAGGCTATCCAGAGCTTTGACCTCCCCTGTTCAATCAACCGCTGTGGGGCACTAAGTGGAAGTGTGCGGGTGAGTCGGCGCGAGAAAGCGCTTGTACAATTACGCATGGTTCGTCGAAGAAGTGCGCAAAGCGCAGACGACTGTCTTGCTCATGATACGCCGTATTGTCGCTCTCTTGATGTATATTTGTGACCACGCGAGATGAGGATCCACCCTGGCCGAGTTTCGGATACTAGGCTACCAAGCACCCTCGAAATTGTGCACGTAGTCATTGACTAAGCCTTAGTCGAGGGTGGAAAAAGCAAAACAAACAGCGAAAACACTATTTTCGGAATCTGCCCAGTTTATCGCGCACAAACGGACGTTCTTGACGCCAATCGACTAGTAGTTAGCCAGCCAGTAGCAAGTGGAAGCTGTTACACGTGGTTAGCCGCCGCAGAGAGAGGTCACGCTAAGCGGGTCCTTATTGTGACTGATGTGCAGCGCACACGGCGGGATGGTAATTCTATCACGCCTTGATCGTGATGATGATCTGGCGCACCTTTGTTACAGCAAGTTTCTTTGTACTCCTTTCAGACATGCTATACTGGTCTTTGTGACACGAGATTGTGTATCCTAAAACAAAATTTTCGGCGTTGCCTGTTTTGAGACTGGGTCGAAGGCAGACGGTCGATTACTGTACGGCTTTTTATTGGGGGCTGTAACGCTTGCCATGGGCGCCTAAGAACGCTCCAAGTCGAGTATATGGAATGTCCCTACCAGCTAACCCTCCTAACTGTCTCGATGAATCTTTCGTCACCTTCTTCTCTGGCTGCTTTTTTTGGCTTCTTCATCCCCAAGTCTGTTGCGCGAACTGTTAGTGCGTTATTACCTAACGATACATACTATTCAACACTACTAGTACAACTGTGTTACACGACAAAACATGGAACGTAAACGATCCAGAGGTAAGGTTCTACAACACCGATTGTTGATATTGCGCAGCCTGATTAAACCATGGCTTCACAGTTACGCCCGAAAACTACACGCGAGCGATAATATCGCTCTCAAGAAGATGCTCAAGCACATCTGTCTTCCCAGGGAACAATTATATTGATATGGGAGATTGGATGCTACTAGACCGTAATCTTCTTAACCTTCCAAAAAGAGAAGAACAGGCCATCCCGTTCGCTTCTGATGCCGGACAAACTCACGATCTTGTTGTCGTGTACAACAGCGGGGAAGGGAAGTGGGATGTGCAAGGATATAGACAAGAGGAACACGAGAACTTCTATGCTGCTACTACTGTTCCTGAGGCAGGTCTCGGGCAATTAGTCTTCATTCGAGGTTTTATCTCGCCATCGTGGGTGTCGACCATTGGGAGCAAATACAACATCGATCCGGAATTCTTTAGGCGACACATGGAATACCTTTCGGCGAGCGTTGACCGGCATGCATACAGTTTTCCATCACTCGCCAGTTCGTCAAATAACATATTCCGGCTTTGTGTGAGCACACTTCTTCATCGCGATGGTTTTGGTGGACAGGATCTTCAGTCGCAGCGATCCGATCAATCGAATGAACTTGGGATATACAAGATACAACAGCTCGGATCTACTAAAGTCCGTTGTGGGGATTCATTGGTGCGCGAGTACTCTACCTTGTGCTCGTGCTTCTCTGTAATTGAGCAATGGATATCGCTTTGTGTCACAAAGACAGACCACGGTTGGGCCGGTAACAGATCTCACAACATGGCACGAGGCAGGCTTGCTGACACAGAACCTAGTTGTTGTTTGGATGGACCAAGGTAGACCCTTGGAGAAGTCACCTCCCGGACCATGGACAAGTCACATCGAATCCAAGGCCACAGCGTTACCCATAATCCAGCACCATCACAAGATGGCATTTCGAACCACCACAAACCGTCTAGGTCCAAATGCTAATTCTTCGGTGGAATTTCAGCAGAGTACGGCCATTCTCCCCTTGCAGTACGATTCACTGGTCGGGCTCGTCGATCTGTCCCGTCGCGCGGCTCAAGATCCGCTATCGATGTGCATCCCATTATTTGCGCATGCTGCTTTCTCCGAAGTTCAGTTCCTAAACCTTATGGAGTCCAGGATCCGAATGCAGATCGACGCGATAGCCGAAGGAGTCTCAGCCGACGCATTGGGAACTTTTCAATATTTTTCCAATATTCTCGATAGGCATGCCCAGCAACTGACAGAAAGCACTCGCGCATTCTGCAAATTGATCAATCAAAGTAATCAAAGGTCAAATAGTGTCAGAGCGGAAAGCCCAATGCCTAGAAGCGCTGTGCCCCCAAGCATCGGTATGCGCCGGCAGACGTCAGAAACCGAGACAGCCAGAAATATTGGATCGAGTAATTCCGAAAATGCTTTTGCAGCGAAGAACCTCTGGGAAGACTATGAGCAACTCCATATTCGCTGCATCGAACTATCGAAAATGTGCACTCAGGGTATAAATCTAGCGATGAACAAAGCTGCGATTGAGGAGTCCCGAAAGGCGATTGAGCAATCTGAACGACTCAAAAAGCTGACTTTGTTGGCGACGTTCTTCATTCCTCTCACCTTCAGCACCAGCTTGTTTGGTATGAACATTGATCTCCTCGGACAGAACGGCGTGCGATTTTGGTGGTTCTTTGTACTATGTGTTCCAATTACTTTGTCTGCCTACGTACTTTATCTGTGGGACGTTCAGCTTATGAAGCGGTGTTGGGTGAGATTCTGGAAAGGTTGTCGCTGTGTGAGGCGGGATAAGACGGCTGAGAGAAGCAGCAAGGATCCGAGTCACATCGTTTGATCACATTTTTCTGTGAGCCCCATAATTAAGCCCATTCCCAATAGTCATACTACGTAGTGATAGCACACTTATTAGAGAAAAATGCAGACATAGGTGGCACTGCCTCTATCACAGAAGGCTTCTGCAAGGTGCAGGCATCCATGCAGCATGCCCCTCATCTACCTAAGCGCTGTGCCCCGCATTGCTAATCTTGAAATAACACGCCATCAACCATCCACCAACAGCCCACCAAGTCGACATTGTTCCTCTCGTACCTTGAGACATTCCACTCTTCACCCACCTGCATCGATGGCGATGGCAGCGAACTCTATGGCCACCGGCCACCTCCAGGTCCTGCGGGATCCGGCCAACACCTCTCAGGAGGGCATTGAGTGAGATAGACTCCTACAAAGGCCTCAGCTCAATTCTACCACTTACACTCAAGCTCAGCGTTGTTCTTGTTCCTGGCACCGGAATCATCTCACCAGAGAACTGGTCGTTTGCTGACCGAAATTGGCTCGCCACCCTCCCTGAGCCTGGTCCTAGGGCACGTATCCTTGCGTATGGATACACTTCGCCATTTCCAGACACCACATTCTCTTGGGAGTCGATTCTAATGCTAGGTTACGATTTCCTCCAATGTTTGAGCGATGCACGATCGAAGTTAGACACACATCTTGTAAGTAGCTGAGTACAGGCCCTTCCTTTCTTGAACTACTGGTACGTTTGCTGATATCCCTTTTCCAGACTGACAGCAAGCCAATGGTGGTAGTCTGCCATAGCTTGGGAGGAATTATAGTCAAACAAGCTTTGTGCGTCGCCAACAAACAGTTTCATCGATATGGGTCAATCGTCAACGCTTTAGCCGGTATCATCTTTCTAAGCACTCCGCACCGCTATGCTGACAAAACTACGTGCGCTGTACATTTCCGCGAAATCTTGGAAGCAACAACAGGCAGGGGCTCAAAGCTCACAAACGCCATTACCGAGCGAGAAGGTGCCATTCTGCTCGATCTTGCAGACAGATTCGAAGGAATCTCGCTTCGCACGCCCATGCTATCCGTCTATGAACTGAGGGAGTCTAGAATTAGTTCCACGCCCCTGCGTCCAAAGTACCAACAAGTCAGTCCCGATTCTTTGATCACGTCCTGATACTAACCTGGGCTTCTAGTTGGTCGACCGTGAAGCTTGTTCGACTCATGCTCCCATGGAAACCGTCGTTGGTCTAAATCTTGACCATCACAATACATGTGTTTTCACTGAAAGCATTGGCGGTGAAGGCTTACGGGAGCTGAACGAGTTTATGCACAAGGTCATGGTAGATGCTGTGCAGCTTGTTGCACTTCGACGGAGAGAACGTAGGTTGAGAAGGTTTCGGCAAGCTGTAGTACGACACTAATGGTCCAAGAGGATTACCAGTACGCAACAATGAGCGCTTACTCGCCTACGATCAGCGAAACACCACTTCAAGGTGAGGTTGGGAACCAAGCTTAACCACGACTCAATGCTAACGGTAATTAGCCGAGCAACTGGAGCTTTCCGAACAACCTTCTAATACAGCAACGGAATGGCCTTCGAATGGAGCAACGGAAGGGACTACACCTTCGGGGTTTGAGTTGGTTTATCCCGCAGCCCCAAACACCGAACCGAAAAAATCTGTCCATCTACCTTGCGTGTTACTCAACACAAATTCGAAGAACGAGAACTTCTGCGGCCGTGAAGACGTCTTGGAACGTCTTGCGGCCGAGCTCTTGCCTTCGAAGAGCATAGTGACAGCATCAGGTACGGCTCTACAGCAATTTGCACTTTGTGGATTTGGGGGGATTGGAAAGACTGAAATAGCTCGCGAATTCTCCCGCCGTCATAGAGCTGCCTTTGATGCAGTGTTTTGGGTGACGGCAGACGAGATTGCGAAGCTCGACCATCACTACCAGCAAATATCGTTGGCATTGGGACTCGAAGACTCATCGGAGTGCAAGAGCCAGGTTGTCAGTCGAGAGATCGTAAAAGGGTGGCTCTCCAATCCTCAAAAGTACCTATCTGGGTACGATGAGCTTGGTCAGCCCGATCAAGCGAGGTCAGAAGCGACCTGGCTGCTTGTGTTCGATAACGCAGACGATCCAATGATCCTGGCGGACTACTGGCCCCAGGGCAGTGGATCAATCCTTATCACCAGCCGCGATCCATTGGCTAAACGCATGTTTACAGGAAGGACGTCAGGATTGGATCTCGGGCCATTGACACAGCAAGATAGTTTGTCGCTGTTCAACCATCTCACAACCGTTTCTAACGAACCCGAAGCCAACACTGCGAAAAAAATCTCCGAAGCACTAGGTGGTGTGCCTTTGGCCATCTCACAGATGGCAGGAATCATTCGCCGACAGGACCTGACCTTGTCCGAGTTTCTTGAGCTGTATACAGATCATGAAGAACACGCCAATCTTTATGAGACAAAGTTCGATGCTAACTTGATCACATATCCTCACTCTCTGTCCACTGTTTGGGCGTTTGAGAAGCTAAAGCCTCATGCGCGGCAGCTATTGGAACTGATTTCGTTTCTCGACCCGGATTTCATTGGAGAGGATCTGTTGATTGAAGCATCAGTGGTATTACTTTCGGATGGCGCGCAGTTTAAGAAGAGTGCCTACATCGAGGCTCGGACTGATCTTCTGCAGTCATCTCTTGTTCAAAGAGACAAGCAAAGACAGCAGTTATCAGTTCATCGTATCGTACAGGAAGTTATCATGACAACAATGGACGAGGCGAAGAAACGATCCATATTCGATCTGATCGTACGAACTCTCTGGGCGGACTGGCCATCGGCTATGCCAAAGCCATCGAAAGAGCCAGAATTGCCTCAGCCCAAATCAAGTGGTGGCAGACTGCATGTTGGGAGGTGGCCTGTTTGTGCGGCGATCTATCCCCACGTTCTAAGGATACACCAACTCTGGTCAGCGATATCAGATCTCTCAGAAGCCACTAAGTTGCATTTTGCAAAGTTGTTGAATGAGGCTGCATGGTGCGTAGACGGTCTGCAAGCTCTTACTTTGCTGTTTAATCTAACCTAGCTAGGTATCAGAAAGAGCGTGGTAGAACAAAGGATTTTGATGGCTTCTTTGAGACCGCTCGCAGCATCTGCGAGTCCTCCATACACCCGGATCGGGACTCCCTGCTTGCAGATATATATTTCTGCCTAGGGGCTATCTCCATGGACGCAAGCGATTTCGATAAAAGTCGCGTTTATAAAGAATTGTCTTTGGCTCTAGTTTCCAAAATTTGCAGAGAGCTGGGAACTGCTGACGAGAGATTATATCTTGCATACGCAGAGCGAGGCATCTCACGCATTCAAGACAAACGGTACGAAGAAGGTGAAGCTGATCTCAAGGAAGCGCTACGGATTCGTAAAGCTCTTGGTAGCTATGTCCCCCGGTCTGGCGAGGTTAATTTGAGCTGGTCCCTTCTTGCACAAGGAAAGCTGGAAGAGTGTGATAAGCTTCTTTCGGAAACTCTTGCGGGCAGGGAAAAGGCGTTAGGCAAAGATGACAGGGAGTCTGTGAGGACAGGACTGGTTCTGTATGCACTTGGTAACCTCCGTGCTGCGCAAAATCGGTTAGATGAGAGTTTTGAGTATCATCAGCGAGCAATGCGCCATATGCGCGCGACGGTGGGTGAGCGGGATTTCTACACTGCGAATGTCGCTCACAAGATTGCCGAGCACTTGATCCGCTTGGGTCGAAGCGAAGAGTCGATGTAAGTGTTGCTATTTCAACAGCATAGGTGGGATTTTCTCTAACACTCTCTTAGTACCATGGTCAATGGGGCACTGGACGCCTGGTCTGTTGATCCAAGTGCACACAAGAACGAGATTGCCCGCACAACCTTCCTCAAGGGCCGCTTGTTTGAAGCAACAGGCAGAAGTCAAAAGGCTTCCATTGCTTTCAGAGTCGCATGCCGCCTGAGAAAGGAAATAACTCAGGAGGATCGGGATATGAATAGCTTGACCATGGAAGATTTCGACGAGATCGTTGCTTTTTGGGCTCGATGATGAGCCTCGTTTGTCCAGGTACATTATAGAACCTCGATGCCATACTTTCTATAGTCGAAGTCTTCCAGACTAGATATACTCTCAGCCCAGCCGTCATCAACTTCCCCCAATTGCCAATCATCTCCGAGCGCATTCATTCCCACTCTCCCAGCCAGCACTTGCTTTTGCTTGTTTCCATACTCAGCCGCCACGTCTTGATGCGGGACCCAAACGACCCTCATCCCCGCGCGTCTTCCGGCTTCTACTCCCGTTACACTGTCTTCAAATACTAAACACTCGTCAGGCATGATGGCCTCCTCTGCGCCAGCCGCCGAGTTCAATGATTCCAACGCAATTAGGTATATGTCAGGCGCCGGCTTCCCTCGACCCTGTCGCAGTCGTGCATCATCGCCCAGAATCCGCTGTTTGGGTTGGAAGAAATCTAATAATTGCTTCGTCTCCGGTCTCGAAGTTTTCAATTTGAAGCTATGGCTCTTACTGCTAGATGCCAATGCTAGTTTGATCTTGTCTCCTGAGGAATTTTGCGCATGACTGAGATTAGAAAGAAGCTTTTCCGCACCAGGCAATGGCTCGCAGCTCTGGAACTGAGCTTGCATTTGCTCCCTCAACTCCTGAGCGAACTGCTCGCGGGGAATGGGCAGCTTGGCCCAATTATGGAATATGTCGCCATTTGTTGAGTCCGGGATGCCCATAAGCTGGACTCGAATCGACCGAGTAAAGGCAGGCCTACCGTACTTATCGAGAAGTCGGTTCGTGCAAAGAGTAATAATATCTTCAGAGTTGATGAGGAGCCCGTCCATGTCGAAAATGCAAGCCCGGATTGGCGGGAAAATCGTAGCAGATCCATTAGCCCCGGGTAACGGCTTCACTGTCCTTATGTAAATGTTAGAGATGAGCGCGCCCAAGGCCAAGCACGGTCGCCCACATTGGGGGAACTCACTCTGATCTAGAGAGCGTCATATTGTCACAAGCGGCTGAAGCTGTCTGTATCCAAGATTGTCGAGGTGGAAGGAGTCGAGCCCGCTGGCAGTGTCGTGCCAAGATAGTGCGGGGCATGAAACGAGCCCCACGGCGTGCCGAGCCACCTAACAACAATCCTGCATTGCAAAGATGAGGCTGCTGAGCCACCACAATAGCTATTATTACGAGCGTTTGTGGCAGAGCAGTAGTTATATACTTGCGATCAATTTCTAACACATAAGTTTCTTTGGTAAATTGACGTTGCGCCCTCGGCGGGTAGTTCTAGGTGGAGGCGATGGCGCACGCTCTAGGGCTTTTTCTATAATTAACGTGGTTCACCCGTGAGCGCCCCCACGAAACACCAGCGAAGCGCCTGCGCAACGGTGTAGCGCAACACCACAACAAATCATTATACTGCAAGCAGTAGAATACCATCTCTCGCGTCGGTGGCAAGTATCGCCTTGTGCATCTTTCTATGTATTGTGCTAGTGCTGACTCCTGTCGTGGGCTGAGTAGTTGATGATTTGCCTTGGTTGCACTGGTGCGCTGCTGCCCTTGGTGCCTCCGCGACAGTGTCGTTCGATCAACACCAAACCTTTTCGCGACTTGGCGGTACGGAAACTTATCTTCAGGTTCACGCGATTCGATATATTTAATCGCTTCTTGAATCGGGTCCATAGTGGTGGAGTAATGACGCGTTGAAGTTGGGACGATCTCAAAGTGTTGGTGTTCAGGTGGCTCGGCACGCGAACTGGCTCGTCACGGGCACGGGCACGGTACAGTAGCTCTAAAGCCATTGCAACAGATCATCCAATTGCTATATTATACTAATATATCTCCCAAATGAGGTGGAAGTGGCCAACCAATAGCTACTGAGGTGCACGATGTGCGTCATAACAGATGCTGGTGTGATCAGAGCTTGCA